AAGTACCTATTGTGATATTAGGTAACAACTTGAATAAGTAATTTCATGTTTAATATTTTTGAGAAACCAATAATAGTATTCATAAGAAGAATCTACACTTTCTCAAATAAACACCTCACCTAATTATTATTATTATTATTATTTAAGTATTTTTTTTTCTTAAGTAAGAAGTTATGTTTATTTGTTGATTACCAATAAGTGAACATGTCAAAGACTGCATAACGTTGTGATTTAAAGACTTATAATCAGACTGACTGATTATAATAATGTTTTCTTTATTTTTCCCTCAAAACATAATCCTTGTCAGGAAGTTTTGGTTTTGGTCGTAAAAACCATTTTCGGTCGGACACTACTTCTCAGCGTTCATATTCCTGATAATAGCATTAAGGAATTTTTAATGGCTGGTGTAGTCTATATATTTTTTTTTCTCAAAGATCATGGACGATCCGAAGTGGTGGAGGAGGTGGAACAGGGGGAACAGGAGGGGGGAGTGGAGCTGGCGGTGGAGGCGGTAGTGGAGGAGGAGGGGGAGGCAGTAATAAACCCGCTGGTGGTGGTAGGCAGATCCGGACTCGTGCCAGAATAATGAGATCCAATACAGCGATACGTGGAGGCAGCAACAGTGGTAGTTATAGAAATTTTTTGTAATACGTACTAATATATTTGGAACTACTGAATGTATTATTATTATTGAAATGAAAAACACATTTTCCATACTCCAGGACTAAATTACTTCATCAGGTAATTTACAAATGACTAATGACTATCATATCTGAGAGGGAGGAAAATTGTATTGGAATTAATACTGTAATCATAGAGGAATTCAGACCTTTCTTTTGTGAACTGAAACAAGGGATTCCACAGGGTCCAATCTTTGGCCCAACCCATTTGCTATGTATTCGTGATATAATGTTCTGACATTATATCGGGGCATAACAAAATCAAATATTACAAAGCTGAAGCTGTCATTACTGTGAATGGTTTGTCAGTTTCATTTATTGAAATGTTTGTCATTAAAAAAATTAAATATGATAATTTGAATTTATTATTAAAACCTTTCTTCATGAATGTAAATAAAATTGTCAGTCTACTCTACTTATTATATCTTTTGTTTTTTTATGATTGATTTCAACTTTACATGCAAGATGCAAGTCACCTGACAGTAAAGTACATTTCGATTTGATTTAGACTTTCTATTGATGTGTTTTTAGCTTCTAACAAATATTTTAATTGAATTTTGGAGTGGGTAGCAATTCGTTTGTACTTTTAGTAATATGAACTGGGGGAATATGATTATGAAATGTTTTGTTTTTGAATCTAAAAATCTGTTTTTCCGTTAATCAGCTGTCGCCTCCATACGAACGACAAGTCTCAGAATTTTTGAAACTTGTGCGAGCTAAGGACTAACGAGGTCTTACCTTTTAAGGTGTGATTCCTAACACGTGAATACATACATACATACATAAAATATGAAAGTATAATGTTCGAATATTACTAAGATCTTCTAAATATATAAGATCAGTGTGATATGATCTTTTTTTCTTCAAGATTATTTTTAGAATATAGTTCTATATTACGTTCAGTGTTTGCAAGGATGGTAACTCTTTTCAAAACTCTGGTGTAATCTCTCCACAACCATTGCTGCTGCACCACTGGTTGAAGGATTTAACCTACATCCAAATTATGAATCGTTAATTTAGTTATTTTCTTCAAAGTAGTTGGACAGTTTTTGTATGATTTCAATTTCAAATAACTTTCAAATACTAAACTCTGGAGTAATCTCTCCACAACCATTGCTGCTGCACCACTGGTTGAATGATTTAAGCTACATCCAAATTATGAATCGTTAGTTTAGTTATTTATGATTGATTTCAACTTTACATGCAAGATGCAAGTCACCTGACAGTAAAGTACATTTCGATTTGATTTAGACTTTCTATTGATGTGTTTTTAGCTAATTAAGTTAACGTCATCTAAAGATAAAGTTTTAGTCATCTCCTGATGATGCTACTGATAATTCCAATCATTTCCTGATGATGACATGTCAAGAAAAAATCCTTTAGTTCAGGTTTGTGGGAAAAGTGGTTTTTTAGATTAATTTCCAATTTTTTCATTAAAAAAAAATCATTGAATCAGATGAAATGTTTGATGATTCAATGTATTTATTTTTTGTTTCCATTTGCTCAGGTGGTCGTGGTGCCCCAGTTATAATCGGAACCAGTTCTTCGAGCAGTGGTAGACCAATGGTCACCGTACCAGCTCCGTATGTTCCCGAAGAACTCGTCTCGCAAGCTCAAGTCGTACTTCAAGGAAAGAGCAGGAATTTGATTATCAGAGAGTTGCAGGTAATTATTCAATAATTCGAAGTATAAACGGTCTAACAGCAAGACTTAAAATTTTGAAGAGAACCAATTTGGATGTTAACCTCGCGGTCAATAATCTACTGTCGAGAGATGATGAAGAGGGTGAAGAAGGGGACGATGCCACTGATTCTTATGTACCAGAAGATCTTATTTCTCTACTTGACGGAGGATTTCCACCAGATCATTCCGTCATAATTGATGCTGATGCAATGTTTTCCGAAGATATGTTTGGTTATTCTGGAATCAGGAAGTAAGTTTGAAGTGATTAATTTTATTTGTATATGGGTTTATCTTTAGTTGAATACCCTGTTTTTTTTTCTTAAAACACTGTTTGTTGGGTTAAATTATTAACCTCAATTTTTTTTTGTTCAAATATTATTGTTTTATTCGGCTATGTCAAATTTTACAGCAATTGAAAGTTTTTTTTTATTTTTAATTTCCACTAATTTTATTTGAAAATGTTTGACTTTGCTCAAACAAGCTTCCTTAACAGCCGAGGCAGCAGCAGTCGAGGTCGTCTTCCTGATCGAGATACTCCTAACAACAGTGCCGGATCAGAGAGGAATCGTGAAAATTTTTCTAGTTGGAGGGAACGACAATACTTTGGGCCTAGGAGATGGCTGGAAACAGCCCTGAGAGATAATCCTTATGAAAAGGATGCAGGTAAATTGTTCGAGTGATGATTTATCATTCAAGGTGTAATTTATAGTTCAGCAATAATTATGTTATTATAATGTAGCCGTAAGACCTCTTCATCACTTCTATTGTATCGTATAAGGCTGTATTGTGCTACTGACTTACTTACCCACCATGCAGCTTACCCTTTTGCATTATCTACTGATAGTGAAGAATCTTTATTGAATTGAAAAGAATTCGATTTTGACTTCTATAGTGCTGATTTCTCAGCTATTGATAACTTTTTTGCTTCTCTATCAACTGGGAGAACTATTCAACTGAAACTTGCGTTAGTTCAGTGTCAATGGCACTATTTATTCCTATCGAAATTAGAAAAAAACTCCAGTTATCCATCTTTGTAGTTTTGGATTCGAAAACTGCATTTTTCATTAAAAAAAAAGTACATAAATTGTTCAGAAGAAGTAATAAATAGGAGGCATCAATTGTTTTTTTTTGAATCACAATCCAAATATAAATATTTAACAATTAAATATTACGATGATAACCTAACAAAAATTGAGAACAATATTTTTAGTGATTCACATTCATTCTATTGATACGCTTATATAGTGCCTTTCTTTAATGCCCCTCCCTCTTTTATTTTTTGAAAGGGTCAATTTGCGATAATGAAATTGATGCCTAAATACTTTATTTTTTAATGTGAAATTGACAGATGAAACCTTCAATATGGCGAATGGGCGCCATCTGGAAAAAAAATTAATGGAAAGGGGGTTCTTGTGACACATCTTTTTGAAGCTCCTGACAAATGCTTCACAACCCTAGAATATAATGTCAATATCTTCAACTACTACAAAATGGCGGAACTTTTTGTGGACCTTCAAAACTCTTCTTTTGAACTGTCCCACAACACCAAATTTTTAGGAATCCACATAGACGAGAACATAAATTGGACTTCTCATATTGATAACCTCGCAAACAAACTAAGTGGAATATCGTACGGAATTAGAGTTACATCAAAATATCTGCACAACGAGGCTATAAGAACAATATACACGGCTAACTTCGAATCGGTTGCTTGATACGGAATTATTTTTTGGGGCAGCAATCGAAATATCGAAAAAATCTTCATAGTTCAAAAAAGAATAATAAGAGGAATCAACAACTTGAATTATAACCAAACTTGCAGAACAGTATTCAAATCCACCAATATAATGACAATCTACGCGATTTATATCTATGAATGCCTATTGTTCTTTTATAAAAATTCACACCTTTTCACTGAAAATATACCTGCTCATAAGTATCCCATAACTCTAACAGTAACTGAAAAAAACGCCCACTATATGTCAATCAAGCTTTTCAACCATCTTCCTGACTGATTAAAACTAACTAAGGAAAATTGAAGTTTTCAAAAGAGAACTAAAAAAAACTTCTCATAGACTTAGATTTAAACGCATATCTCACTGGAACATTCATTTAAAAATATTTATAACAAAAAATCTGTGCCTTCTTGTTTGACGCCATTTCATTCTATGTTACCGACCTTCTGCAATAAAAGTTTGTAATCTACTCTGAAATAAAGCTGTTTATTATTATTATTATTATTTGCACTTGCTGTTCTTCCGGAATGGACAGATGACCTGGGGGCTTATTGTTATGTACACTACCGGTAGTTGTGAGTTTGGATATAAGTTCCCTCAAATATTTTCTACAGATAGGACGATTCGGAAAACGTTCATTGAAAATCCTTTCGGTCTCGTGAAAGTTACGCGTCGCGCCGTAAATAAAAATCCCTTCAATTGTTTCTTCCAATGGACGAGAATTGACCATTTTAGAGATTATTGACGTGGTACCCTTCTACTAGTAAAACTGAAAACTAAATGAGAATATTCTAACTGAACAAAGATGTTCATTGTCGTACTGACATTTTTTGTCATTTTTATAAATCAAAAAACCAACAAACTGTATCGGGTTGTTGGAATTGCCATATGATAAACAAAAAAGAGTATTTTTAGAAATATCGATAGTAATGTGTTGTTTGTCTTCAGGAAATTATTAAATGTTCCGCCATTTTGTAGTAGGTGGAAGATATTGACTTTATATTCTAGGGTTGTGAAGTATTCGTCAGGAGCTTCAAAATGATGTGTTACAAGACCCCATTTCCATTTAATTTTTTTCCGCAGATGCCGCTCAGTCGCCATCTTGAAAGTTTCATCTGTCAGTTCACTTCAAAATAAAGTGTTCATGCATTAATTTCATTATCCCAAGTTTCAATATTTTTTTGAGTTGACCCGTTCGAAAAATAAAAAGGCGTTCATAAAAGAAATGCACTGTATGAAAAGTAATACTCCTATCCCTCCCCAATATTTCACAATGAATCTACTAGCGACAACGGTTTCAATAATTTCAGCCTCTTTACTCATCACTTCTCTTCAGTTAACATTAATATCGATTGTGAAATACCCGAGAAACAATATTGTAATGCCCCTAATCTCACTAATTATCAAATCGGAATATACGATATTTTCAATGAATTGTCGAGAACCGTGGAGAATAGTTGGTTGAACTAAATGTGCCACACACGTAGCATTATCATTCAAAGGGTTTGACCAGCCAGGATCAATCAACTTTTAGTACCACAAATTGCATCTTCTGTAGGCTCTTTCAATAGTAAATAGTTCAGTCAATTTTCTAATTGAAAAAATTTTATGATTCATCTAGTGATTAATCCTTTCTCACTTTGAAAAAAATTAACGAGCTATACGTCATTTTTTCTATTCAAACTTCTATAGTTGAAACAAACTTAACTTTTCTCATTCTTTTATATTCTTATGGAAATATCATATATGATGGGAATGATTCTTTCAAGCACTCTCATCTTCATATGAGAGATTCAGAAGGCACAGTTATGAATGAACACATTTAAAAAAATCATTCTATCTTACATTCAAATTAGACCACAAGAAGAAAGACAATGCATGCCCCTTATGGATTTCGGATGACCTGGAATTCTGGCCGGATCCTGCACCCAAGTTTATTCAGATCGCTACCTTGTATAGCGAACTGATTGCCCTCTCCTCGAACGGTCAGCTGTACCAGTGGAAATGGAATGATCACGAACCGTACAGGCATCCGGAAAATCCCAACATTCACCATCCGAAGACGATTCCTCTGAGTTTGACTAGCGAAAAGGTAACCCATCTCTCTGCTTGTGCAATGAGGTGCACGGTTGCTACCGAAACTGGAAAAGTAGCCACTTGGTTGGATGAACTTTTGATACCTGCTGCAAGTAAACTGGAGCATGCTGCGCAAGCCTATAATGAGTTTCAGACAGATAAGATCAACACAATCTATACTTGCCCTTTATATACAGTCGCCAGACTGGAAAGCGGTTGTTTATATTGGTGGTAAGTATACAAATCCTTTGTAATCTACTATATTAAAAAAAAAATTGTAAAAGTCCTTGAAACAATTAAATTGAATTAAATTTTTGTCATTTACTGACATAGTTTTCTTTTAGTTCAATCACTTTTTCAACTTACTACGTGGCTATTCTTGAATCACTCTTAGCTGAGCATTGTGGTTCAGCCTAGTATCATTGGTGATAACTTTGCTGGTCGAAACAGCACTGCTTCATATTTGACTACGAATGCTTTGTTTTTGAGCTCTGGTTTTATGTAACCAATTAGTAAATATATTTTACTTTTTTTTTAAATAAACTGCAGTACTTCACAAAGACTCACACAATGTTTTACTCATTCAATCCATCACTTGTCAACTTCAATTGTCACTTATGTCGCTTATTACACTTTTGTACCTTCTACTTCTTTTTGTTTGTTATTCAAATGTTATCTTTTTTTTTCTGTGAAATTGAAAGGAAATGAATTTACTCATATCAGCAACACATGATGTCAAACTATTATTTGCGAGACAGATTGAAATTGTTTTCCACTGACCTTATGATGTAACCATTTCCATAATAGATTATACTTTCTGCATTTATTTGAAGTTCCAATAAAACTATTTCAATAATTTCATCATTAGGGGAGTGTTGCCGTTCGCCCAGAGGAAACGCTTATGGGAAAAATATCGAGTGAAGTGCCGAAAACAACGTCCTTCGAACAACCAGTCAGAAATTGTCGCAGGCTCCCAAGTCTGCATGAAAAATAGCCCCATGTATCAGCCGGGCGCGATAGGTTTTACTGTAGCTGGCGGTGTACCGAAAGTTGGACAGTTACAAAATGCAGCTTGGACATTGAACGATTCTTGCACCTTCAAAATAATGAATGTACACAGTTCCAATACTTCAGAGAAGTGTAGGAATGAGATAACTCCTACTACCAGTGGATTATGTAAGTATTATGTTGATGTATCTGCCTATGTATTCTGTTTTCTTTTTGTATATACTATTAGTTCGGGCTTTAATAACGAAACGTTTGTTGGAAGTTTACTATGTGGCCTATCAAAGGCATTTGACTGTATCTCTCCCATTGTTCTATTATTAGAATTTGGAAAATATGTCTTTGAGTCAAAACTAATGCAGCTAATAACATTCTCAAGTGATAGAGAGCAAACCATATACTTATCATCAGAACCGTAAGGGATTCCTTAGATGCTTGATTCTTTACTATTTTTATCTAAATCAATAATTTTTCAGTGCTGAATACAGGTGTTTCTTTTTGCTGACACAATAGAAAAGAGATGGAAAAGTTGAACACAATTCACAGATGGATTTTGAGAATCATACTGGGCAAACCAATAACATTTCGAACCAAGTAGTTGTATAACAAATCAGGTTTACTTGATGCCTGTCGACTTTTTTGTTTAGCTATGATCCTCTATATAAAAAAAATTAAATACCTTCCAAGTTTGTCAAATATGTCAATTGATGAATATAAAAGGGCTATCACCTCACTATAGCTCGTTAAGTTCTTGTCAGTTGAAACTATCTCTTTGGTATCAGTATCATACTGAGCCATTGGATAACTAACTATCTTATAAAAATTCATTTTTTCTTGTCCAAAAATTGTTTACTATATATACAGTTTCAAAGTTGAGCATTACTATATAAGGCAATGTATCAATAAAAGATACACTATCTGATCCTCAACCAATCAGTTCAGGAGTTCCTCAAGGCTCTGTCCTGGGACCGCTTATCTTTCTATTATTCGTCAATGATCTACCCAAATACTTCAACATCAACAACAATAGTCTGTCCAAAATTTGTTTACTATATATAAAGTTTCAAAGTTGAGCATTACTATATAATTCTTTTCTATCTTTCAGCTAACTTGTCCAGCAAAGGATCTACCAATAAAGAAAACACTGACAGACTTGACATGCCGCCTCCTCCATCACCTGCTTCTAGCACCTGCAGTGATACAGGCAGTATCACAAACAGTCACAGTAAGTATCAAATTTGCTACCCTCAGCCTCTTTGTTTGAAGTTGTCCTTTTATAGAACGACAGAAAAGATTAGTAGTTACTAGTTCAGATTCGAGCAGCGATCAGAAAAAGGATGAAGAAGAATGGTTGTTGAAAGATGTGATTTTCGTTGAAGACGTGAGAAGTGTTCCGACAGGAAAAGTTTTAAAAGTGGACGGGGCATTCGCGGCCGTAAGATTTCCATCTGCTCACACGAGAGACAGAGATTCTAAGGATGTGGATGATATTCTGCAAGACTGCAGATTGATGAGAAAAGATGACCTACAGGTTGGAAATAACAGGGCTGATTTTGAGTTAGTTCTAATTATTTTGTTTTGTAGGTTATAAAATCTTCTTCGAATTCTCGTGTGCCAGATTGCTTCCAGAGAACGCCGAGGAGAATTCAAATCTCTGAAAACAGTGGACAGATTTTGACTATAGCCGTGGACGGTCAAGGGATTCATGCTATTGTTCGAAATGGTTCAAAATTGAGTTACGTTATATATAATATCAGTAGCGGGCGGGTTGAACTGGATAATCAGTTTCCCAGCGATACGGCAGCGTTTATGGGAATGCAACCGTCCAATATTAATCTTACATGTGCGGGAGAGGTAAGTGGTCAGTTTTATCTTCAGTTTCATGCTCAGGCAATTCGGATCATATAATTAGTTTTATTCAAATAGATCTTGGAGGTCCCTTTCATGAATAGTCAATTGATATACAATATACCATATTTTTGGGACAGAAAAGTTTTGGATTTCTACTTCTCCCTCTTTGTACAAAGAAAATGTGGGAATTTTCCACTATGATTGTTTTCTTCCTTTGTTTGGAAAATTTCCACATTATCTTGTATAAAGATCAAGAAATAGAAAGCCAAAACCTTTCTTTCTCAAAAATGGATCTCTCCCAAAAATATATACACTTTTCAATTTACACAATAGTGTTAACACACATGTCAAAAGGAATATCGTATAAGATAGATGCATCGTCATTCTTGATGAGGGCTAGTTAGACATATTACAAAAGTTAAATAATTTGAAACACTTATATGATAATTCAGCACAACAAAAATCAATGATGCATTCATTCAAACTATTTTCAACTCTCCTCAACTTCTTGGTATACAGGGAGTAAAACTCCAGCAACTTAGCAGCTTCTGTGATTTTTCAGTGTTNACATAAAATATGAAAGTATAATGTTCGAACATAATATAGTTCTATATTAAGTTCAGTGTTTGCAAGGATGGTAACTCTGTTCAAAACTCTGGAGTAATCTCTCCACAACCATTGCTGCTGCACCACTGGTTGAATGATTTAAGCTACATCCAAATTATGAATCGTTAGTTTAGTTATTTTCTTCAAAGTAGTTGGACAGTTTTTGTATGATTTCAATTTCAAATAACTTTCAAATACTAATCAATGTTGAAAACTATTACTGGATTTGTACTGCTTCTCACCTGTGAATTTATTGTATTTTTCTGTAACTTGTTAATTCTTTTTCAATAGATATTTGTTGAAAGTGCTCATGATAATCCGAATCAGTCATCCTAATACTCAATATGTAATCTTTCAGAGCACAGAATCTCTACTCATTCTGAGGGACGGCAATAATACAATATATCCGTTAGCTAAAGATTGCGCAGAAGCCATTAGAGATCCTCAGTTTTTGGATTTGCCTCCCGTAAAATGTGTATCGGCAGGTACTCTATCCTTATCCGGTACAAGCATGAACTTGAAAAATCAAGTAGCGATCATTGTTTTCGCTTTGGAGCAACAACTTCTCATGCCGAAAATCCTGAGGTGTGATATTGACGGAGTAAGACAAGTACTTGCGCAACTTGACATTGATATGAGTAAGTAATTTTTACTTTGAAGCTAGATTATAAATTTTTGTAATTTAATTCTGTTGCAGAATTGCATAACATGATGGGACAATCATTTTTGACAGAGAAGTGTGATGGCAATAGGAATATTTTCCATGCTGTCGTCAATATGTGCACACCAACTTCTAATAAAGATTCCGAAAGTGGTAAGTTGTAAAAACGAAAAGATGTAGGAAATAACACAGGGGTAAAGGAAAGGTCACTTTTTTGAGATACAGTGTCAACGTGAAAGTTCCCCACTCTCTTAACTTCTAAATGGGGCAAGATATCAAGGTCGGTCAGAATTCACGTAGAATGCATAATATTCACTACTTTTTGATAAAAAAAATTGTGTTTCACCACACATTACAAGAGGGCGCTACCATTTTTTTTTCAAACTGAAGGGGTGGATTATGTGATACCTAGTTAGGTAGGTATTGATAGGTATTCCAACACTAATTGGAAATCAGGATCTGTCATTCCTGAGTAATTAGCAGTTTTATATTCGTTTTACGAATCTATAAAAAAGTTATATTAGTTTGTTTCAAAAGTTTTATCCGTTTTTATGGATCTCCAAGAATTAGATTAGTTTATATTGTCATATCTAGTTTTTACATAAATCAATGCTCGGAACCTGCGAATCCAAAATTAAATAACCCTGCTAGTCTCTTTTCCAAACCAGCAAACAATAAAATAAATAATCCTGAAAGCTTACCATCAGCGAACCAAACTCTATTTCTTACACCAACAACTGAAAGTGAAATTTAAAGCATAATACTATCTCTAAAAAACATCAGATCTGTCGGCTATGATGAAATTCCTGTAAAACTACTGAAATTCACTGCGCAAGAACTTTCAAAACCCTTAACATTGATTGTCAACATGATGCTTAGTAATGGAATATTTCCCAATAAATTGAAAATTGCTCACATAAAAGCAATTTTCAAAAAGGGTGATAGAAATCAAATTGAAAATTATAGACCAATAGCTCTACTATCGACCATCAGTGAAATATTCGAAAAAGCCCTATATAATCGCCTTATAGCCTATCTAGAAAAGTTTGAGTTATTAATTGACACTCAAAATGGCTTTCGAAGAGGCAAATCTACTACACGAGCAATTGATCAAGCCTTGTGCACAGTGCTTAGATAGTCAAAATGAAAGAAAACACACTTTAATGATTTGTCTAGATCTGTCAAAAGCTTTTGACAGTGTCGACCATAATATACTAATAGGCAAGCCTAATGCCTATGGAATCTGGGGAATCTCAGCTGATTTAATAAAATCATACTTGCAAAATAGAGCACAAAGAGTTGTTGAAAAATGCCACCTCACTAACGAAAACATACAGTCAGATGAATTAACAATCTTGAGAGTTCTGCAAGGATCAATCTTAGGGCCGTTGCTATATATTCTGTAGACCAATGAGCTAGCAAATGCTATTGATTTCAACACTGTGCAGTTTGCAGATGACACAAGTGTAGTAATCAAGGAACATAGTATTGATGAATTTGACAGAAGCGTGTTTGAATCACTGAATACATTGGAAGATTGGTTCACACATAATCACTTAAAGTTGAATATAAACAAAACACAAGTAATAATGTTTTCCCAACAATCTACTGCATGTGAATACTCAGCCTCAGATGGTAGATCAACAATATCAGCTTGCAAAAGTACAAAGTTCTTGGGAATTGAGCTTGATCTTAGATTGGACTGGAAATCTCACCTAACCTAAATATTGCAAAATACTGCTATGCTCTAAGAGTACTAACAAGATCAATAGATATAAACGCTGCTATGTGTGTCTACTACACATAAGATCATTCAAGGATCAAGTACGGTTTAATATTCTGGGGTGCTTCAACAGATTTCCCCAATATATTTAATATGCAAAAGTGATGCCTTAGAATTATATTTAACCATAAACAAACTGATAGTTGTAAACCCTTATTTATAAAAAATAAAATACTAACCTTATACAGCCAGTACATTCTTGATACTATACTATTTGTTAAGGAAAACACCAAACTTTTTGAGAACTCTAAAAAGACACACATATACTCTACAAGAAATAAGTAAGACTTGACCTGTAATACTCCAAACTTCTCATTTATTCAAAAAAACTTTTGATGTCGCTTCTGGCGATGAAGACAGTCTAATGAGTCTAGGTAGTAGTGCAGCTAATAAAGGAGGAGGTAACAGTAACAATGCCCCAAGTAATTTGGTAATTGATCCTTCCGAGAGAAGAACTAACGCGGTGCAAATACTACACACTCTCTTGTATGACTCATCAGCTTTAGAACCTCATCTCATTGAAATGTTATCAGCAAAGTAAGTATCATTACACTCTTCCAATTGAATCCATTTAGAATGTGTCGATTATTTCAGGGACGCACAAGGCCAAACACCTTTCATGTTGGCCGTTTCATCTAGGAGTTATCCTGCTGCTCTCGAACTGTTTGAGAGAATAGTAAAACTAGGCACGCCCCAAGAACGCGAAGACATGGTGTTCCCTAAGGGTTCCAACCCGGACCACTCTCCATTGCATGTGATATGTTGCAATGACACCTGCAGCTTTACTTGGACAGGCGCCGAGCACATCAATCAAGACATTTTTGAATGTCGCACCTGTGGTCTTACCGGCACCCTTTGCTGTTGCACCGAGTGTGCTAGGGTTTGCCATAAGGGACACGATTGTAAGCTGAAACGCACTTCGCCCACAGCTTATTGCGATTGTTGGGAAAAATGTAAATGCAAGGCACTGATTATGGGTAATCAGACAGTGAGATATGAATTGCTGACTCGTTTAGTCAAAGAAACCAATTTGGTTTGCTTGCCAAATTCAAGGTAAGAGTTTGAAGTATTTCATTTCATTTTCGAGTCATACAAAATACCAGCAATGACAATAAAACGTAGAAGTGATTAAAGTAACATTCTTAAGAGGGTTGCCTTTTATATTTCAGGATTAGAGAACAAAACCAAATAATAATCATCGAAAATCATTTTATTGTTTTTCAAAATATTCCCCATGAAGATCTATACACTTTTGCATGTGTTTGAAGTCATTCGGTGCGAAGTCAGGACTATACGGCGGATGACTCATCAAATCGATGTTTTGGGTGATCCGTCTTGGCGGTTGGTTTTCCTGATTTCTCGTAAGACAACTGGCAAACAAATGTTTGTGTACCACTCAGAATTGATGTTCTGCGTTGTTCTAGTGGTACGGTTGCGACATATCCAGTTTTTCCGAAAAAACAGGCGACCATTTGCTTGGAAGTGCTTCGTGCTTGAATAACTTCTGTTGGATTTGGCTCATCTTGAGAAACACCTATACAGTTGACTGCTGTTTACTTTTGGGCTCATACGCGTAAATCCACGATTCATCACCTATCACGATGTCATAGGCGTGTTTCGAAGCACCGCAATCATATTTTTTGAGTATTTCCTTTGACCAATCGACACGAGCCTTTTTTTGAGCGAGACAGTCAAATGTTTGTGCAATATTGAATGTATGCTGGTCCCACTATGTTTGTCTTAATCTCACGATAGGTCACACGACGATCTTGCAATATCAGTTCGCGCACACCTTCAATGGTTTTCGGAACAACAACTAATTTTGGACGACCTTCACGAAATTCGTCTTGGAATGAACTACGACAACGATTGAATTCACCATACCATCGATAAACACTGGTTCTTTTTGGAGCTTCATCGCCAAAAATTGAATTAAGTTCATTCATGCACTTTTGCTGAGTAAATCCACGTTGTAAGTTGTAAAAAATAGTCGCACGAAAATGTTAACGGTTTGATTCCATTTTTGGGCCGAGATGAATCTTTTAAGTTACTGTAAACAACACAAATAATGAATATTTACCTTATATTCACCATACAATATGTTATCATGGATTTTCATCAAGTATCAACCAATATTGTGATATTGAATATATTTAAAGTTCAGCCTATTTTAATGTGAAATAGTGTTGCTAGGAAATAGTTGTAATGCCAACAGACAATTATAGTTTCATTAATGAATCAGTTGTTGCTTCGAATATTTACTGGTGTTTCGTGAGTTTTATATATTTAAATCATGTACCTTCATTACACACAACTTGACGAATTTTGACAAAATTGTTTTTGCAGAGGAGAGAGTATTTTATTGTTCTTGGTGCAAACAGTTGGTAGACAAAATCAAGAACAGAGGCAGTTCAGGAGTGCTCGCCCAAGAACGGCATCTTCCAATTCAAGGAATAAAACACCATCTTCAGACAGTAAGGAACATATATATAAAACTTAATGTCCGCTCACTTACACGCTTCAAAATTTCAGTTGAGTCCGATATGCCAGAACATGACCTGGAGCCTCCTCGTTTCAGCAGAAGAGCCTTGGAATGTCTCCTGGGAGATTGGAAGGCTGTCAAAAGCATGATAATGTCTGGCACGAAAGAAACAAATGACAGTCGCTTTATTGATCAACCTTACATCACCAGTCAAACAGGAACCACCTTACTAGACAAATTCACCCATTGCTTCTTCGTCAAATGTCAGATGGTCATGGATATCTTGCTGGAAACTATCATTAAGGAAATGAAGAGTCCGGATCAGAAACAAAGTGAAATAGCTACGAATGTGGCTAGAAGGTTCGTAAGATCCGTCGTTAGGATTTTCGTCATTTTCAGCATCGAAATGGCGCCAAATTCCGCCAGAAGACAGAGGTTCAACAATCAAAATTTGCCGTTGAGCAAATGCAAAAAGGTTTTTCAGGCTTTATCGAAGCTTTCCATCGAGGAACTGTGTGAAATTGCTGATTCTTTGATCGCACCTGTTCGACTTGGAGTCGCCAGACCTACTGCGCCATTTTCTTTGGCCACAACGCCTACTGACGTGTTGAATGTAAGTCATCTGGAAATAGTAATAATAATATTTATTGACCATTGGCGATACAAATCAAATATATGGCAAGTCAAAAAATAGTGAAAGAATAGTAATAATATTTAAAAATGAAAGTAAGTCACTTGAAAAAAATTATAATTTGCATAAATACTTATACACACATACAAATTTATGCATACACAATTTTTTTTATANGTGGTAAAAAACATAGAAAGTTTCATAACTCATTTGTCATATTAAAATGATTGTTATAAAGAAATACTTCAATTTACTTGTAATCAAGAGAGGTGATTCTTTGTATAAATTTTTGTTTTTTTTTTTAGGGATCTGAGGAACTGTTTCTCGTCGATCCATTAGCTCCATCATCTGGTAATACTGCCACAAGATCAGGTTCAGGTCAAGCCAGCTCTTCAGACAACTTCCCATTTCTGGCTGAGGCTGTTAGGCGTGCAGTGGCTAGCAGAAGAGACTTGTTGAACGATATGAATGATGGTGAAGGTGAGTATTTTTAGAAGCAAAACATTTGTTGCGGTTTTGTAAGTGAAGTCTCACAAAGTGTTTTTTTGAATACGATCTGAAAGGTGATTGAATATTTTACATTCATTGTGTTGAAATAGGTCTAGGAAGTTCAAAATTATTCTTTTGTCCAATTAAGTAATATAATTGGTGTGACCCGAATCTACTGAGATTTTTTTTTATTATTGTGTAAGTTTGTAGAATATACATTGAAATTACCCTCAATATTTCATGTTCTTGCAAGAATCGCGATAATTAGCTTTGGAAATGTTTACAAATTATTTATCAATATTATTAATGAATTGAATGATATTGAAATATTTTTTCCTAGCTGATATGCCACAAACATTGTTAAATTTTGTAGGAGTCCCAATGATAATAGTAAAAACTGTTGTAAGTTGCATCCCCATATTGCATGTTCCCACATGGACAGAATTGTTATTAATTTTCTCTCTGCCTAGGTATGGCAGTTGACAATGATGAAGATAACAATTCTGAACACGAAGACGCGCAGGCCGATCGGGAAATACCACTCCCAGTTCGTCAAGCTTCTTTGAACGAAAATGAGCCTCAAGAAGTTCCCTCCGATCAACAAGAAAACAGATTGGGGGGAGAAGAGAGCGATCCGGAACTAGATTTGCTCGCCGAAACAGAATCGGACAGTGATGATAATCACAGCAATCAGGACGCTGCCTCTGCTCAACGATCGGTCCAGACCGGGGCTACAGCTGGTTCTGATACAGGTATGTTTGAGGGAATGAAGGAAAAATTGAATGGGTTGGAACTTAACTGTGATTGATTGTTTTTCTTGCAAATCATGAACACAGGAGTATTTTGTGTGAAATTTTGGTGAAAATAAAAAGCAACGGTTGTTTTATTATAAATTATATAATTAATACTAAAGGGTTGCAGTCGCCACATCATTTTCATATCCTACCAAACACAACTTAACCTTCAAACAGTGAATAGCTTCATTATGCCTTTCAAGAAATATTTCTTTATTACGATGGTGGTCCTAAAAGTACCCGACTTCATCGGACCAGAGCCTGTCATTGGCATTGCTTTAGGTTTTGCCAAACAAACATTGAACGCCTGGATGTCAAGAAGATTTAAAGACTTCTGGCAAAATCTTCCAGAATTGGCTCACTCCAAAGCGTTCATTCACCCTTTGAAGAGCTTATAGATAGATAGAGTTTATAGAGCTGCAAGGAGATTATGTTATACAATTTTTGTGTTTTCTTTGTTGGGCTGGGTACTTCTGGGACCACCCTCGTATTCTAATCAAGTTTTCCAACCTGTGCTCCTCTGTCCATAGGAGAGAAATGATTATATTGATATGTATGAATGAAGACCTGAAAAAGTTGGATATTATTGAGAAACTGATCAAAATATCTTTTATGACTTCACTGATTTGCGGATATATTATCCACTTTTTTCTTGGGGGCGTGTTTGTGAGAGAGTGTTTTTTTGCAAATCTATATGTAACTCATCAGGGGGTCTGCTGCTTTTCCCTGAAGATGAAAGTGGCGAGTCGAGCCAACAAGAAGAAGAGGAAAGCGAAGCTGGTGAAACAGACGAACAAGATACAGAAGATTATACTTTGGATGAGCAGCTGGAAAGGAGAAGGTAAATATCTTTCAACAGTTTAATCTTCCTCTTGAAGATGATCACTTGGTGATGGAAACACGTGTCGAGGTGTTGAAATAACAGTTTGGTGTTAGGATGAAACTCCAGTAATATTCATTACTACACCAAAGGTTCCAAACAGTGCAACACATTACAGGGTTTATTCAAATGAGTTTGTACAATTTCTGTCTTTATGTTGATGTTAATTATTTCATTCTCAATTTCAACTACACGTTTTCAACATTAGGTGGGTAGGTAAAATTCAGGTACTTCAAATTGTAAAAATATTTATGAAGCATTGAATATGTAGAAGCTATCTTATAGAACACTTTTTGCAAAACTATGTAGTGAAAATCCCACGATGAGGTGTTTCCTGAAGACACAAAAATAGCCTATGATTGTGCGTTTTTCAATATAAAATTGTTCAGTACACTCGTACGAATATTTTGTTTAAATGTGGTCTAATAGATTGAGCCATCTGTATCTGTAGAGTTGGGAAGGTGAGTGTAAGCCCACAGCATTTAGGCCACATCTGACCCATTGTACATCCTCCTGAGGAGTTGCCCTCCTAGATCATCGTTCATCCTGTTCTTTCCAGGAAGGTGGACAGGTCACTGAGAATTATCTCCTTTATATCGGCGCAAAGGACATTCCTGACAGTTTCATCTTCCTGTTCACACATCCTGCATAGAGCTGGCTGTGTCCACTAGCCCCATATTATGAAGGTGTTTCCTTAGTTGACAGTACCAGTCAGAAATCCTACTGTTAAGCGTAGATTTTTTCTGGTCATCGCCAAATGTTGCTTCGGCGCCAGATTTCCGGGGTCGCCCAGGGTGATCCTGGCAAGATTGCATCCTTTGATTCCATCCCATCTCTTTAGGGATTGAGCATGGATGTGACGTTTGGCTAGTTCCGCAATTGTCGAAGTCATCAGGCTGTAGGTGTCATTGGGTTCCAAAATTCTTAGTCCAGCCGCTTCCTTGGCTGAAGAGTCGGTAATGCGATTATATTTACTCCTGTTGTGCCCTTTAACCCACCTCAGGATAATGTTACCTGCAAAGTCTTTGGCTAAATCTTGGTGGCACTCTAGCACTAGCCCAGAGTTAACACGCCTGTTCAAGACTAATAGAGCTTGTCTACTATCAGTGCAGATTATTATGTTTTTGCCAGAAATTCCTTTCCTGGTTATTTCTTTTGTGGTATTCTATTTTATTTGTATTTTGTAGGGTTTATTAAACACAAACCTGGGTTCAATTGCATCACTGGCTGCCTGCAACAGAGGGTGCAAAGTAAGAGCTTCTCGCCATAGGCTCAGTCTCAATTGACCCATTCCTACTTCGAGGTTTACACCAGCCGTGCGCAATCGTAACATGGCCAATAACGCAACCTCCTTAACGTAAAGGTCCAGAGGGGTCAAGACCAGTAATTGATTTCATTGCCGCGGTTGGTGTTCTCATGGCTCCTGTGATTTTTAAACAAGCCACTCACTGTATTTGATATAATTTTTGCTTGTAGAACTTTCGGTCCCCATGCAATGGCTCAGTATTATCTTGAATATTTTTTCCTGAAGTCACTTTATTTTATTCATTAGAAAGTCCTTTAAAATGTGAATTTGAAAATGGATTTGACATTATACATAATGAAAACTCAGTCCTAACAATATTAAAAAACATGAAAAGCTTGTAAACACTTATTACATTTTCCTTTTTTCAATACACACACGTTTTTTTTATAGCAACACTGTTCTTCATTTTGCACCAAACTTGTTTTAACACTCCCATCCTTATTGTATGTTTTGATATATTTTTTTGAGTTTTCCTCTATTCTATATCTTTTCACATCACTCTGATTTGATTATTGTCTATGAAAGAAGCCGTTACAGCAATGCCACAGGTCACGGTCAACGTAGCAACCTCGCGCCCCAAAATATGCAATGGGCCATACGATCTCGGGAGACCGGTAGATCGCAAGGCGTTCGATTACCTAACGGGTCGAATCTAGTTTTCATCGATCCTAGCTCCTTGCGAAGATCGACAGCTGGAAGTACTACAGTTACTGCTAGTTCCGAACCAATAACAATGGCAACTACTGCGAGTTGTTTGGCCAGAGCTTTCGGTGAGTGGGATACCAGAAATAAGTAGGTATAATATTGAAATGTCTGATTTTTAGGTATCGTGATGAGACAAATTGCTGACTTGTTGTCTTTGATGCCAGACATCAATGCTATGGCATTATCAACTTCTTCTATTAATATGGATGTTACCCAAGATGACATCTATAATGTGCAGGTGAGTGCCATATCGTAGTCAGTTTTTTTCATATCTGCTATTGATACAAGATATCAACATATTTTCAAAATGATTTGTGATATTATTTATACACAAAAGAATAAAAATGATTTTGCAATATATAACAATCACTGCTTCAACACCCGTCATAGAAATCTCTTGCAGCCTGATTTTCATAGCACATCTCTGTATCAAAGAAATTTTTATTGTATTGGCTGTAAGCTCTATAATATTCTTGATGATCATATGAAATCATCCCCTAATGTTCATATTTTTAAATCAAGGCTGAAAAAGATCCTACTTTAGTGAGTGTTGTATTATTGTCCCATACTTGGATAAATATAACATATTGGTTATCACTGTACCTATGATTGTTTAAAAAGGTTCTAAAGAAAGTGAATTACTTCAGAAATTAGCTTCATTTCATTTTTGATATTTGGAGTAGATAACTCCAATATGTTTGGAAAGATGTAATTTTAACTGGAGTAAAATGTATAAAAGAAATTCCTTGTGAAACACGTAATAAAAGGTTTTCATGTTTATCCAAAATAAATAACAATGTGTAAGGTCATAGTGGTCAAGGAAGTACATTCCCGACTCTTTAATTTGTTTTAAATCTACCAATTTTGCCCCGTTTTTATTAATTCTACCACTGTTGGATTGTAGGGATTGGGATTGTTTCTCAAATGAAATGGTATTCCACAGGGATTGATGCTTGGTCCTATTTTGTTTCTTTTATATTTTATTTGCCTATTAAAAAAGGCATATCTCTTAATTTTCAAAATATAAATACTTTGTCATTCAATTGCAAATTACCTCCAAAACTGACATTACTTCTTCATCTAATTTATACAGAAATCTTTAGTTTTTTCCCAAGAAACTATTCAAGAAAAACTTTTATATAATAAATTGATTGTAGTCATTACTATGTGGTAGAAGATCATCATGAAAAACGTAAATAAGAATACATTCTCGAACTTTTTTTTAATAAGAACTCTTGGCATGTAGGTTGAGTTTCCCCAGAATATTATGCCATATCGGAGTTTAGACACAACATATCCATAGTAGATAGCTAGAGCTGTCTAAATCCCCAGAGTTTGCCTTAATATTTTCAAGATATAACAGTACTTTGAAAGACTGTACAATCAGATCAACATGAAGTTTCCAATCAGGTCTGCGATCCAATTGTAAACCGAGAAACATTACCTTCTCTGACGATTCTATTCGACTTCTGTTAATATCTACAGAAATAGGGTGAGATCTTTGTCTATTGGAATTTAATAATTGTGTCTTATTCATATTCATTGACAGGTTATTTGCTAAAATAAACACTTTTATGATTCTTGTATGTACTGTACAACTTTTTCATGAGATTGACCCGCAGTATTTTTGCTGATGATAACAGAAGTATCATCAGCGTATAAGACTACATTTCTTTGTATTACATTTGGGATTTCATTTGTATAAAGTATAAAAAGCAAGGAGTCCAGAATTGACCCCTGTGGAACACCCCTTTTTTAATACATTCATCAGATTTGATGACTCTTGAATGGGAGTGCTTCTGTATAAATTGCTGTTTTCTATTTGATAAGTAATATTTCAATATTCATCTTCAACCATGCAAGTCCAATTTTTCTGTGAGAATCTTATGATAAACACAATCAAAAGCTTATGAGAGGTCCAAGCATATTGTCATTGTTTTTTCCTTTCATTCGGTGAATTATCTACTAGAGCTTGGTACATAACATTTATAATGGAGTATTCATTTTTAAAGCCATTTTAATGGTCAGTTGTGACAGAATTTTTCTTTAAAAATTATATTGCATATAGTATTTTTTCAAAGACTTATTATTGTTATAACTATTAATTTTTTTTTCAAGATATACTTGGAGTTCCGCCTGAAACCAACCTGGGATTGGTTATTGACTGTCATGGATGCCACAGAGGCGCAATTGAAGTTTGGAGCATCACTCACTAATTCTTTGGATTTGACTAGTCCCGGACATCCGATAAACACCGCTTCCAATACAGGAGGTGGGCTTCCTCCTAATATGCCTCCTACAACATTAGCTTCATTAGGTGTTTTGGCTTTTTTCTTTAGCATGTTAACAGCTACCATTTAGTTTTAACAAATCATTTCATCTTGGATAGTTCTGTGAAATTGGATCATAGTCAATTTCTTGCACATTTGCTCTTCCCATCTTATTTAGTTCACCATTGTGTTTGAAATATATGCAGTTCTGTCAGTTGTCAATTCATGTTGAATTTATTAGATCTCATCAGTAACCCCTTTTACTCTCATATTTTTATTGAAAACATTCACATCTTCTTTTGCTTTTATTACTACAGTATTTATAAAAATGTTAGCAGCATCTTGTCCATATCATAGATTATTACTTAATTTTTTTTGTATATTTGAATCAAATCAAAACTTTCACAAAATGCTGCTTACAATTGTATTTTTGTTTAACAACGTTTAACGAACGAGATTTTTTCAGTTGCGTCCAATTCATCTAGTGCTATCAGGTCGAATCATCGAGCTCATGCTGTTACCAGTGGAACAAACTCTTCAGGTAATAGAATCATTGGGTTCACAACAAGTGTTGAAGGAGGACGATCGAGGCCTGAAAGAGAAAGTAAGTTGAAATTTTTAATTTTTCTCAGGTTGATTCGACGGTAAATATTCGAACTCAAAACAGAAAATTTTTTCAATACACCAAAAAGTTCCCATTGCTTGAGCATTGGTTTGAGATGCTTTCCATGGATTGAATTGCTTCATCTATAATCATACAGTCTTCAACTAATTTCTTTATTTCATGTCAATTTAAATCTGGATTTCGAAAGAAAAATCTTGTGAGTGCGACATTCAAACACTTTAGTTTGACTGGAAAAATCATAAGTACAAACATATACTGCAAACAGTGTAAAAAGCCAGTAGTAGTAGATTCAGTTGAATTCCCAATCACATATATTTACATGTCACAAGACTTGTGAATGAACATAACAGCTGGACTGAAAAGTTCGTAGGCTAACATAATTTTTTTTTCGCGATGAAATTTGATTTCATTATTCAATATAGTTGCTTTCGAGGGCGATACAACGATTATAGCGGTCATACAATTTTTCAATACCATTTTTATAGTATGATTCATCTTTAGCCTCAAAAGAGGCACCAGTTTCGAGGATAGCCTCTTCATCGGCGCTAAATTTCTTTCCGGTGAGGTCTGAGAACAGGAAAAAGTCGCTGGGGGCCAGATATGGGGAATATGGTGGGTGCGGAAGCAATTTGGAAGCCCAATTCATGCCCAATTGCCATCATTCCGATTGATAACACTATATAATTGTCACTGTTGATGGTTTCTAGCTTTTCAAGGTAATCGATGAATATTATGCCATGCGCAACCCAAAATACTGATACCATAACCTTGCCAGCTGACTGTCGTGTCTTTGCACGCTTCAGAGTCGGTTCACCATGTGCAGTCCACTCAGATGACGATCGTTTCGATTCTGATGTGAAATGATAAAGTCATGACTCATCCATTGTCACATATTGACACATAAATGGTTTTTTTGTGGTGGAACAACTGACAGCTGCTCAGAATCATCAATTCGTTGATGTTTTTGGTCGATTGTTAGCTCGCGCGGCACCCACTTTGAACAGAGCTTTTGAATACTCAAATATTCATGCAAGATATATCCCACACGTTCCTATGATATCTTTATTGCCTCAGCTATCTCGATCAACTTCACTTTGCAGTCATCCAATATTATTTTGTGAACTTTTTTGATGTTTTCGTCAGTAAAAGCCTCTTTGGGGTATGCATTATCCTCAGTGCTCGTTTCACCTTGTTTGAACTTAGTAAACCACTTCTCAATTGTTGATTTTCCTGGTGCAAAATGCTAATAATGTTTATCAAGCTTAACCTTGGCTTAGCACATAATTCGATGTGCTTGATGTGACAAATACTGTAGGAAATATAAAGTAAATTAAATATTCAGGTGAGTGTATTTATAAACATGCACAATATGTTACAAACAAATTAGGAATGAAAATGATTTTATTTTTTTAGAAACCTTGTTTATAAAGTTACTTCAACTGCACCTATCCCACATTACAGTAATTCTTTCTAAGTGAAGTCTGCATAACCAATGTTAATTTTAGGCACCGATGCCCATGCTGCAAGGCGGGAATTTCTTTTGTACTGTCTATCTTTGATGAGAGCACACAATAACGAACACCTTGATTCACTACCTGTGCTTGACGTTTCTGCTTTGAAGCACGTTGCTTACGTGTTCGATGCCTTGATTTATTTCATGAGATCAGGCCCTAGCGAGGGTATGGAAATCGACTCCCGCAATAGAGATGGACCCTTACCTCAATGGAGTGATCAAGTATGTTAGGTGTACCTTTTTCTCTTTTTTTTTTTTATTGCCTCTACTTTTAGGATGAAAATGAAAATGAGGAAGCTGAGGAAGATATCGCCGTTGCGATGGATACAGAGTCTTTGGATGATCAAGACGTGTCTAATTTAGCTAGTAATATATCAAATAGTCTAAATACTTCTCTTCAGAGTCATTCCGGAAAAGGCAGGAAGCATTCATTTTTCCAGGTGAGTAAAAGTTGAAAAGTAGTCAATCTGTTTTCATGTTCATGATCCACAACAAATTTGTGGTTATTTTTTTCCAGAGATCCGAATCTACCCTATGTCTCGGTTGCCCTCCACCTGATCCTTTTGATATTCCAATGTCGGAAGCTCTACCGCTCGCAGACCAACCCCACTTGCTACAACCCAATGCCCGTAAAGAGGAACTGTTCGGCATCCCTAAACAACCAGTCACTTTGACAGCTACAAGTACTAACAGCGACAATCCTCTAGAATCGCTTCCAACGAAGCTCAGTCTCTCGACTAGAACTACTGATTTTGCTATGAATCAGCCTGCGAAAGCCAACCATCCGATATCGAACTCGCTCAATGTGATGGGGCCAAACCCATTGGTTCATCCTCAAAACTATCAACCGGAAGAACCTGTTTTCAAGGAAACACGCCAGCAAACAGAAGCGACGGTAAATCCTTTCGAAGCAGGTCCAAGTGGTTCGAATATGTCTTCTAGAAGTAGTGAGCCTAAGAAGCCAAGGAACATGCAGCCCTTTGAGACGTTATTGGCTGCTGTAAGCAACAAAAGTGGTAAGTCATTTGTTTTCATAAAAGTTGCTGTTATGTATAAAAAATGTTTTGAATGCTCTCCACTTTGTTGCTGCTTATTCTTTACTATTTCTTACAAAAAACATATAACTTGTAGCTCTAATCGATAATCTCATCTTGACTATAGTTACATTTTTTTAAACATTTCAGATAGTCAGAGTCAGAAATACTTTATTGTCAAAAGATTAGGTTTTGTTGACAAAACAGGCTTAAGAATTAAAGCAATCGGAAACTTTAACATAAAGGTCAAGAATTTGAAACAAGATATTAATATGGCTCAAGCACACTTCAAAAAGTCTATAGTAAAAGTCTGTGATGAAAAATTTTATATGTTGACAAAGCAGGCTTAAGAAATAAAACAATCAGAAAAATAATTTCAATTACTTGTGACTGTCTATAGTTTGACTCTTAATGAGAATACTTTTACAATTTTTTTCAGTGTGTTGTATTCGTACCTGTGATACATTCATATTTTGGTAAAAATTCGTCTTAACGGATCGCCGCTAGAGGGCTGCCTTGTATATGAATGGACATAACTTTTGATTTTTTGCCGTTACTTGATGAAGATCCATAGAAATTTCAAAAACTACACTTCATTCACTATTTGATCTCCGCAAACTTTATTTGAAAAAATATAATTGAAACATGTTTCGCTAGCTTTCTCAAGTGTATCATACACTTGAGAAAGCTACTGGGCTAGCAAAACATGTGATTATATTTTTTCAAATAAAGTTTGTGGAGATCAAATCGTGTGGTGTAGTTTTTGAAATTTTGATTTTGAGTCGATTGACATGACCCCTAGCGTCCGGAAAGGTCAAATAAAAAAGTCTGAGAACGCTATATCAGCGTTGCCCGGGTGTTGGACGCTTCCGATACCCGAAGTATAGGCAGAAAGGGGTAAAATTTCGTCTTAACGGATCGCCGCTAGAGGGCGACCGAATACATTTGAGTCGATTGGCATGACCTTCAGGGTTCGCAGAGGTCAAATGATAAAGTTGTTCCAAATGGCTTAAAAACACTATATTTCCATGAAAAGAGCCTCCGCACCTGACCCAATCTACCTATCCTAACCTGCCCAACCTAACCTAACCCAACCTAACTAGCGACATCGTAGCGCAACCTATCTGCTTATACTTCAGGCATCGGAAGCGTCCAACACCCAAGTGATACCGTCTATCGGTGTCTTCGGAAGGGAATTCAAATTCCAAAGACAAACCTAATTCGCAGCTATGTCAAACAAATCAAAAACACGGCTGCTCTCAGCAAAATCTAAACTTGAAATGAAAAAAAAACACGTTGAAAAGTGTGACCAACACAAAAGTATGTCTAAACGAAATGAATGCTGACTGAAGAACAAGAAGCCTCGCAACGCTGATGAAGCGTTCTCTGACTTTTTTATTTGACCTTTCCGGGCGCTAGGGGTTGTCAATCGACTCTTAATGTATTTGGTCGCCCTCTAGCGGCTACGTGTTAAGACGTATTTTTACATTTTTCTACCTATACTTCAGGCATCGGAATCGTTCAACACTTGGACAACGCTGATATAGCGTTCTCAGACTGTTTTATTTGACCTTTCCGGACGATAGGGGTCATGTCAATCGACTCAAAATCAAAAGTTATGTCGATTCGTATACAAGGTAGCCACCTAGCGGGGGTACGCTAAGCCGAATGTTAGCCTTATTAACCATGTTCGGTACTAAATGTACATATGGTAAATCAATAACTGTAATACATGTTATATACATATAAAGAATGAAAACAATGGTTAGTCATACTTGAATTAAAAGAAACTTTACATTGCAAACAGGTCCATTTACATATTCTCAATACAGAAATGGATATAAACAAGTAAAATAATATATACAAAAACCCTTCCATAAATAAGTCTCTCGAAAAAGAAAAATAAATTATTTTGTAACTTTCCATTATAATCTATAATCCCCTCATAAGTCCAGTTCTATTCATTTGTCTATACATTTTTGCAAGCATTGCTCCATCGTTTTTTTGTTGTTGTTCAAAAAAGGAACTATTTCAAACCATCCAGCAGTAAATGTAATCGTTGAAACTATAATTGCAAAAATATGGAGTGTTAATGAGCATTTGCCTTGATTGAAGTGGATTTTTTCTTTTATGGCTTTGTAATGCGGTCCTTTTTCAAAAAATGATGAATTATGTCTCGGTATGCTTAGTTCATTCTTGTGTCTAGTATTTATAGTCATTTGGTTTGAGTAAAGATCACAGTTTCTCATGAAGATACTATAATGTTTTTTGACAAACATGACTAATTGCAGAAAATAGATTGAAGGAACTGTTAATATGTCTAGCATCTTGAAGTGTGGTCTACATGTTGATCTATGAGGTAGTTTTAACATACAGCAAATTATCCTTTTTTGAGTTTTGAAGATTTTATATGACTGTGTGATTATATTTTTTCAAATAAAGTTTGTGGAGATCAAATCGTGTGGTGTAGTTTTTGAAGTTTTGAGTCGATTGACATGACCCCTAGCGTCCGGAAACGTCAAATAAAAAAGTCTGAGAACGCTATATCAGCGATGCCCGGGTGTTGGACGCTTCCGATACCCGAAGTATAGGCAGAAAGGGGTAAAAGTTCGTCTTAACGGATCGCCGCTAGAGGGCGACCGAATATATTTGAGTCGATTGGCATGACCTTCAGGGTTCGCAGAGGTCAAATGATAAAGTTGTTCCAAATGGCTTAAAAACACTATATTTCCATGAAAAGAGGCTCCGCACCTGACCTAACCTAGCCTAACCTACCTATCCTAACCTACCCAACCTAACCTAACCCAACCTACCTAACCCAACCTAACCTAACTTACCTAGCGACATCGTAGCGCAACCTTTCTGCTTATACTTCGGGCATCGGAAGCGTCCAACACCCGGGTCGATGACACTCATGGCACAGTGCTGGGACAAGTATCTACAGGTACAAATACAACCTAAAAGTTAGTCATCGGACAGCAAGCCATGATGGTTTAACCTCAGAAGAAGCTAGCCACTTGCGCCAGCGAAACGTCAGGAAAAAATTCCAAAAATCCATGGCTTTCAAACTCGAAAAATAATGACACTGAAAACCTCAGCCGCGAAAGTCTAAACCATTTTGACACCAATGGCTGTTGCACTTTTTCGTTGAATAAAGAAGGCTTTGCTGTTGAGCCTAAGTGATACGTCTATCGATGTCTTCGGAAGGGAATTCAAATTCCAAAGACGAACCTAATTCGCAGCTATGTCAAACAAATCAAAAACACAACTGCTCTCAGCAAAATCTAAACTTGAAATGAAAAAAAAACATGTTGAAAAGTGTGACCAACACAAAAGTATGTCTAAACGAAATGAATGCTGACTGAAGAACAAGTAGCGTCGCAACGCTGATAAAGCGTTCTCTGACTTTTTTATTTGACCTTTCCGGGCGCTAGGGGTTATGTCAATCGACTCAAAATCAAAAGTTATGTCGATTTGTATACAAGGTAGCCACCTAGCGGGGGTACGCTAAGCCGAATGTTAGCCCATAATTTTCTATAATGACATGTTCTACGCTCATTTTGGGAATTTTTTATTGAACAAATAGATTATCTATCATAGGATTTTTTTTGTAATATTGTAAAATAAGCTATATAACGTTTGTTACCACTTTTATTTGTAACTATCGTTACTGTCCTAAATGAACATTTTAAAACTAACACAAAATGCCAGTTTTATTTTATTAGTTTGAAAATGTCCATATAGGACGAAACTGCAGCAACCATAGTTACAAATAAAAGTAGATTCATTTGCCATATTTCATGATTTTAAAGCAATCTTGTTACACGGGCGGAAGGACTTCAGGTGATAGCCAGTTGAGCAAAATCGTAATTTTGATCAAGCTACAATTCACAAGTCACTTAGATGCTATTTTTATACACAATCTTTGCTTTATGTACTATGTAGTATTTTTATTCTTATTTTATGTATTTTTGTATATCAATTAAATAAATAGAAAGAACATTATTATTTTGAATTATCTATCAATAATTCTTGCAGATAAACAAGAGGGCATCACCAATATTTCAAGTTCATTCGAATAACTGATTTGTGTATGGATTCATACTACTGTTTGTTTTAGGAGAATTAATGAATGAGAGGCCTCAGGATTTATCTAGAAATCGAGACGTACATTCCATTGAGATGTTCGCATCACCTTCTCTTGACAACCCCATTATATCCAGACCACAAATAATTGTATCTTCCAAAAAATCAGAATTTTCGATTGAGTCACATTCGCAAGAAATGGTAAGTTTTCATTTACTAGAAACTACTACTACTATACCGACTTGTTTGTTTTGAAGGCTTCTTCAGTGAGTTCTTTATCGCTTCTGAATCCTATGGAATGCACCCAAGATGTTTGTAGTCAAAGCACAACGACCGGGACAACATCAGGTTCCTCTACCCCATCAACTAATTCATCTAGAAGTCCAAGTAAGAGTGTGATCGTAAGAGCAGGATCATCTAATGTGAGTTGAGAAAGTTTTTGTACCTATATTCAAGTGTTGTGGAAGTTTCAATACGTGTGTGAAATTTGAGATTTTTCATACTTCACAATGCTTCCTAAATAAACTATGCTTTCTGATGACCACAGTTGGATGAAGTTTTGGACTGGGGACAGATACGAAGCAAACATATGAAATTAAAAATATATCATTTGAGTTTTTGAAATTTTCTGAAAGCGTTTAAAACCATCTAGTACTCTCGAAACACAATATGAATCAAGTCCTTCTAAATATTTCAGAGTCAGAAAATTGGAGAATCTGAAGTACTCATGACTATGGACATTCAACAACCTGAATCATTGGAAAATCAGGAAATCTCCGCCAATGTTACAGTGGTTACCACAACAGTAAACAATGAAACGCCAAAACCCACCTTTGGACAGACTGTTTCACATGACTTACTCTTAGGTAGATGGCGATTATCTTTGGATCTATTCGGTAGGGTATTCATGGAAGATGTTGGCCTGGAACTAGGTTCGATTGTTTCCGAATTAGGCGGGTTTCCCGTTAAAGAAGCTAAATTCAGGAGAGATATGGAGAAGCTTAGGAATAATCAACAAAGAGATCTGACTCTATCCAAAGTGAGTTTATTACTACTCCAAGTAGTCAAACTGATAGGTTTAAAAACTTTGCATTTCTGTATCCTGTAAACCTCAAACTATCCTCAATTTCTTTACAGATCGAGAGAGACAGAACCCAACTCTTAATTCAGACTTTCAAAGAATTGAACACTCAATATAACAGCTACAATCGCCGTACTTCCGCATCATCTCCGCCCTTGGCTGTGAACAGGGTGAAAGTAACTTTCAAAGATGAACCGGGAGAAGGAAGTGGTGTGGCTCGAAGTTTTTATACAGCCATTGCGGAAGCAATCTTGAGCAACGAGAATCTACCCAATCTTGAATCGGCTCAAGTAGATAACAAATATTCCCAGTCAAGCGTCCTGCAGAGGTTAAGGAGAGACAGGGACGTCATACGTAGAGCCACACCCAGCAGGGGTTCGACCAAGTCTAGAGATCATCACAGAAGGACGATGAGCGTGGAAGTCAGGCCTTTCGTTCCTCCGGTAACTGTTCACAATTCGGACGCTCCATCTATGCCAGACATTTCTTCGGCATCAGGAAGTCAACCAGGACCTAGTTCGGACCAGTTGGCAAATGGCGGAAATCGCAACGAACACCTCACAGGTCAGCAGCAGCATTTGGGTGATCGATTGTATCCGAAAGTTTATAATTTGCATCCTACTTTCGCCGGAAGAATCACCGGTATGTTGTTGGAACTGTCTCCTGCCCAGCTGCTGCTCTTACTTGCCTCTGAGGACTCGTTAAGAACTAAGGTTGAAGAAGCCGTCGAAATGATACTGGCATATTCACATTCCCAGTCAGAAATGACGTCAGAAGCTTTGTTAGGTGAGTAATTTGAGGTAGTAAATTAACAGGCTCATTACTTTCATCTAGAAATTATTGTTTCCTATTTCAAATACATTTGGTCAATTAATTTATGTTTGCGGCAACATGACATGAAACAAAAACTGACTTGAAAAAATGTGACCTGACCGGGATTTGAATGCGGCTCTCCTGTTCTCTAGATCCGGGCATTCAAGAACTATGCTATCAGAGTCAGCAAGCAGAATGACCGAGGGAAAAAAATTTTGTTAACTGTGGTGAACCTAACTCAATCCAAAATAGGCACTTTTTATTGTATGAAAAGGGCGCCCTTCGTGGTATCAGCCAGGGGAGTAGTTGTTTTCTGATAGGTGTTATATATAATCTTTATAGTTGTCAAAATGCATTAACCATTTGAAGAGATGCGGTTTTAATGCATAATTTGACATCTCAGATTTTTCAGAATATATATCTCATGAATCAGACACAGTCGGGAATTAAAAAACTTGCACTAACTCAGAATTCTTTCTCTTCTTGGAACACCTTTGTATAGATAACGAACAGCTCGCCTTTGCCCTTTGCAAAACAAACACTGGCTTAAAAATATATTGGCTACAGAATGCCCAAAAAATATATGGGATCTCTAGCAATTAAGTCATTCCGACAAATTTGTAAATTAAAGTCAACTATATATAGTAAAACCAATAATGATTGAGAGTAAAGCGCGTTGTNAACATTATACGATAATTTCTAAGGAAAAAACTAACCTTTTGCTAGCTACTTCTCCAAAAAAACTAAAAAGTTGAAAACTTACGACAAATATATGAAAAATATGTGCAGATGATGCACAGAAATTTCTTTCAGATACAAAACGGAAGAAAAAATCCTTCCAGAATAACTAATCACCTTTTCTAACTCAGTTTTTAATCAAAACATCCGTAGTGGAACTGAAACAGATACACATAAAAACGTCTGTACAAAAAATGAGGTGAATTTTCCTTTTTCGAAAAAAATATTCATTTATTCATCAATTTCTATTTTGGCCCCTTCAAAGTAGTCCCTTTCAGATGTAATACACTTGGACCAGCGATTTTTCCAATCCTTCAAGAAGTTCTGTCTTTTCTTTTGGTATGTCCTCGTGCTCTCGCAGCGATTCGTTTTTATCTCATCAATCGTCGCAATACGCCGTCCTTTCATAGGTCTCTTCAATCTTGGGAACACAAAAAAGTCGCAGGAGAGCAAATCTGGTGAATACGGTGGCCGAGGCATGTTTTTGGCCAAAAAATTATGAACGAGTAGGGCGATTGGACTAATTGTACTAAGAATTTTTCTTTCATTCTTAACCCTCTCAAAAATTAATAAGCACGCCCCCGATTTGCTGTCAACTGGTCTTACTTCTACTCTTAATCATTATTGGTTTTAGTATAGTTCAAAAATTGAATTTCATAAATAAATTCCACGAAACTTTTGACAGTTCAAACTTTTCACTTTATAATTTTCTTTTTACTCCCTGCATTCAATTACTCTCCCACTAAGGACCACTATAGAATTGATAAGAGATTCAATTCTCTCAGTTTGTATCAATCGTTTATTTAGCACCAAAAAGCTAATTACAGCCGCTCAGTTTATAAAATTTATAACTTGAGCTAATACAATCCATAGCTAAAGCTAAATCAATAGTTAAATATCAATTAAACGATATTTGTTTCTTTTTGTTGGTTTTTCTTTAATGTGATCTAACCTAACAATCTATAGATATGTATGTATATTTTATTTTCCTTTAAATGTACTTTCAAATGTTATTATATTTACATAGTTTAATAATGTTGGAAGATATTTCTAAATTTATAATTTTTGTATATTAGGCTTGCCTGCTAAATGAATAATAAACAGTACTGATTGAAATAGAGGTCACTTCAACATATGATATTCTGAAGTGTTTTCGAATGAAGAGTATCTGTATAGAGATCATTCATGTGACATACGGAAATGCTATCCCATGCTCTACTTTTTATCACTTACTTTCAACATTTTTATTTCCTGAAAGTCGAGTATAGCGGTTCAGCCTTAAAACTGATATGTATTGACTGAGCCAATAACTATAACGTGAATTTCTCCGCGCATAGTAAATTCTATTTTCGGTTTTCAACCTCTCCAGTATTTCTGCCGAGGAATGCTTTCATTCTCCACTCTGAAGTCTTGATGGAAAAAATATTGTTCTACGGCTGACAGATTTGAGTGTGTTCCTATCAAAATAATGAGTTGGCAAGTTTAAACAACTGTTTTTACAGTATCAATAAAACTTTCTTCGTTACTAATTCATTCGCATTTCAGAAGTAGATTTGGTTTAGGTATTGGGTTGGTGTAATTTCAATTTATTTATTTTTTTTGTTTTTTTTTTCCTCATTTATTGAATTTTAGACCTAGATGTATTTTCATTGACCGATCGTGGGCTAACAAGAAAGAGTAGCGGAAGGACAAATGGTGATAATTCTGTTACAGAGGAGTCATTGCAAGATGAGGAGGATCTAGCACCTCTTTTTTATTGCCCCGGCAAAAGGGGTTTTTATGCACCGAGACAAGGGAAAGCCACTTTCGAAAGGCTAAACGCTTTCAGAAATGTTGGAAGGTGAGTCATCGAGACGATGCCATCTTTTGATCGGTTTAATGATTTGTTCAATTTTAGGTTGTTGGGGTTGTGTCTCTTACAAAACGAGCTCTGCCCTATATTCTTGACGAGGCATGTGCTCAAGTCGATTTTAGGAAGACCAATCAAGTTCCATGATTTGGCATTTTTCGATCCAGTTGTTTATGAATCTCTCAGGCAGTTGGTGGTTGATGCGGAAACTAAGGATAGCAACAGCTTGTTCTCAGCACTTGACTTGAATTTCACGTAAGTCAACGCAGAGTGGATATCTAGTTAATTTCTGGTAGGAAAATCACTTAGAAAAATTATTAATATCTGTTGTTTTTTTTACAGTATTGATCTTTGCCCTGAAGAAGGCGCTGGAACAGTTGAAATAATGCCTGGTGGAAAGGATACAGAAGTTACTTTCAGCAATGTTTATGATTACGTAAGGAAATATGCTAAATATAGGATGTTGAAAGTTCAGGAAAAAGCTATTGATGTAAGTATAGTTTTTTTTGTAATAATGTAAAATTGAATGTTAAATTCATTTGTTTCTGAATGACAATAAATCAATCGTAATTTTAATTGAAGCAAAAGTGATATGGATAATTATTGGCCCCGTTTCCGTCCTTTCTATATTTTCAATAATTACTGAAAAGGTTTATCTTTCTATTGGACAAATAGAAGCAAATTATGTATAGGATATAATTCAATAATAATAATGTAGATCTAGTAAAGATCATATTATATCCAGTTATATATACAGTTATTTCAATATTTATATTGGAAACTGTATCGATTATACACAAAAATAGGGAGAACTATGAATCTACAGCTACAGCTCACAAGGCGGTCTAATGAACTGAATCTACCAATTCCAAAAACATGTTTGGTTCAAATCTCGTTGATATATACTTGAATCAGGATATACAATAAACTTTCCAATGAAATTAAAAATACTCGATTTGTCATATTCAGAAAGAAATGTACAAAACTATTAAGTGATCAAGCCTATTATGACCTACAAGAATATTTTGACGATGCCCTGTAATTTAGAATGTATGGAAATTGTGATTGTACTGTGTGTGAAAAACATTTTTATTCGTTGTCCTAGTTCTTGTCATGTAACCTTTGAATATGTATGTATATATAAGTTGTATTTTATTTTAATCATTTACATTTCATATTTCATGTTTATAATGATATTTATTTATGACATTGTATTTGTAACAAGAATTTTATTCTTAAACAATGAACATATTATCAATCAATCAAAATGTAACTTAAGTCTAGTGTAAATAAGTTTGAAATGAATATTTTTCAAAGAAATTAGTGGCAAATCTTTCCTAATTTTGTACAAAATACCTAATGATTTTGGCTTTTATTGTTGGCTAATACCTTGTTAAAAATAAATGTGTTAAATTTTGTCTTGCACAGATAAATTGAAATATATTTTTTTTGTCATGTAGAGTATCAGGACAGGAGTTTTTGATGTTCTCCCAGAGAGTTCTTTGGATGGATTGACTGCAGAAGATCTTAGGCTTTTGTTGAATGGTGTAGGTGATATAAATGTTTCAGTCCTAATTTCGTATACTTCTTTCAATGACGAGTCTGGAGAAAATAGCGAGAGGCTCGTTAAATTCAAGAGATGGTTGTGGTCTATTGTTGAAAAGATGACCCACGTTGAGAGACAGGATTTGGTAAGTATATTTATATTGATTATAACTAATAATTGTGGATTCCTGCACCAGTCTTGAGCTTTCTGTCGAAAGTTTTGATAAGTAAGTCATAAGAAGTTGAACACTGATTTTCAGTGGGAACATTCATGTTTACATTTGTAACAAATGTTGATCAATATGAGTTCTCACAACTCAAGATTGGCTCATGAATCCCGTTAAGGAAGAGCTGAAAAAGGATGTTACAATCATGGCCAGTAGATAGGACAAAATAACGTCACCAGTAAGCTAGCTTATGTCAGACAGTATGGCTGAGGTATTCATCAATATTATAGGGTTCTATATTCAGTAGAATCTTATGTGAATTTCCTTTTTGAATTCGCCAAGTTTATTAATTTGTTTGGTGCTGGTGGGGAGTTTGTTGAACATTTTCATGCTTTGATAGAACGGGCTCCTTTCTGTAACAGTTAGTCTATGTTTTGGGTATACATAGTCAAAATTTGTACCATTATATACATTTTGTGGTAGACTATTTTCAAAAAGATGTTTGTTTCTAAAAACGAATAACAATAGTTCCTGTAGATATAGACTTCTTTAAGTGTAGTATTTTAAGACAACTGAATTTGCCTCTACATGATTCTCTTGAGTTTAGATTCAGCATTGTTCTTAAGGCTCTTTTTTTGTACAATAAAAATTTGCTCTGCATTTCTAGTACCTCCATAAAAAATAATCCCATACCTACAAACAGGTTCAAAATTTGAATGAAAGACCATTCGGATTACATCTGTGTCAACATACTGACCAATAACTCTCATTGAATACAACACTGTGTTCAACTTTTGACAAACATTTTGAATATGACTGTTGAAACTCAGTGTGCTTGCTGTCTATGTGCAGTCCTAAGAATTTGCATTCATTTTCTATTTTGAGTGAAATATTCTTCAGCCGAATTTCTTGAAATAAGTCAAATCCTGCATGGTTTATTTTGAACATTACAGTTTTGGTCTTATTGTCATTCAATATAAATTTCAGATGCTTTCTTCAGTTATGGATATCAGACCGGGATAGTCTGCTGCATTGACCAGCAAGTTTGTGTCGTTCGCGTAATTTGTCATTTTGCAATTTTTCCCACAAATCTCCAGGTTATTTAGAAAAATTATGAACATCATTGGGCCAATTATACTACTTTGTGGCACCCCAGTATCAATTGATTTTAAGTCTGATTCAGACAGGAAGAATTCATCCATCTCTAAAATGAAGAATTCACAAATTGTTAGAAGATATTTCTAATAAAAAAAAGTAGATGTTCATTCAAAACCCTTTTGCAATTCATCAACTTTACAGCATGTGTAATATCCTTAACGCCCCATTGTATTGAGTATTTTTCTTGTGGAAATTGTTTTTCTAGATTATATTTTTTTTTCGTAGGGAAAGTTGTCTTGTTCACTTTTTCCTAAATCTTTAGTTTATATTGTTGATAATATTTATCTTCATTTTACAACATTTTTATGTGTTAACATCTAAAAATCTTTTTAGATATAGGATCACATTTAGTGCAATTTTTATAAGTACTTTTCAGGATTTCGTGCCTTTTCATGCCTCTTCGCAATTCTTCGGCTATTTTTAGGCTGAATTAATTACTGCTGTGCTTCAAACTATAGATTATCATTATTGAAATAGATGGGTTTGATTTAAACATATTAAAGAAACATGATAAACTAGTCAACCTTTACTCCATGGCCAGACTGACATTTTTTGTCTTTTTCCAGCAAACTAACAGTATCATCATACCAATATATTTCAATTAGCGTTCTGCCGACACTTGAATTTTCAACAATAATTTCTCTCAAGGCACGTTCATTTTACTTTTTGAACAACTTTCATAGAATATCATTTTATTGAAAAGAATGAAGTTAAGATATAAATTGGTTGTACACAAAACTGACTTATTTTTTACTTTTAATATTCTATTGAAACCTTTATTTTTTAAATTTGTTGTTATTACTTAAATTGAATCCTGTATAATTTGATAATAATAATAATAATCTTTATTTAAAAAAAATGTCAAATATTGTTCACAGACAACATAGATTGAACTGATGAATTCCGTTTGGTTTCTTAGATTAATTTATGCAATTAGGCAATTTATTATACAGCTTAATTGACAGTTTATAGTCAACATATGTATAAGGAGCACAAAATCATTTTTTCTTGTTCCACAAGAATGTTGATGAATATTGTTAAAGAACAGATGTCGATTTTTTTATAGAAACATTAGGCATTCATAAATATAAAGGAATCTGATAGCTCTTTTCTGAAAAACAAATATTTTTTTAGTACTACTATTGCTTACCCAAAATATGATTCCATATCTAGCTCCAGACTCAAAATTGGCAAAGTTTAAAATTTTTACTGGTTCTTTGTTGGGATATTTGTTAACCACTCTTAGTTCATATGAAATTTAGTTCAATTTGTTAGATGCATAATCAATATGTTCATTCCATTTCGAAATCTCATCAATATAAGTTCCTAGAAACTTGGTGTCTTCTCAATATTTTGGGATGAGTTGAATACATAGATTTGAATTACTGTGGATAGGATAAGAACAAATATTGCTCACATCTACATATACACAATCCATACATATTATATTTCTTTTGTCAGGTATATTTCTGGACTGGTTCTCCTGCTCTACCAGCCAGTGAAGACGGATTCCAACCTATGCCGTCAGTGACAATTAGACCAGCAGACGATGCACACCTCCCTACTGCAAATACTTGCATATCCAGACTCTACATACCCCTGTACAGCAGCCGAACTGTTCTGAGACAGAAACTTCTACTTGCCATTAAAACAAAGAACTTTGGATTTGTTTAAAGCCACAATTGTTTGTAGTGTTCCACTACATGATTTCTATACTGCAAATAGGAAAATTTATTTGATGGAAGAAAAATGCAATTGTTTTGAAAATTCATATGTAATAAATATAATTTATTATAAGATTTGTATATAGGTCAAATATAGTGGCACAATATTGACAGCTAATTTTATTCAGAATTATCACCTGCTTCCCCCAAAGTCACCATAAAGTGTCTTCTATGGAATTTGAACATATAAATTTGAATTGACAAAACTTATATAAATATATCAGTGATACTTTAAATTTCATAAAGTTGGAAACTGTCACTTTCGTTTTAGGAGTGCGATTCCTTAAGTGTTAATTATATTTTGGAGTAGAAGGATTCGTGAACCACCATGTCGGGTTTAATGTCGCTGATCTTGGTACAACCTGAAAAATAAATCCAATATTAATCTCCCAACAGTTTTGCAACTTGCCAAGCAAGACTTGAAAGGTTTTTTTTACTAGTTTAAATTTTATGATTACAATAATAAGCTTTATTGTGAAAAGAGATCTTATTGACAATGCATGTGTGAGAGAGTAAAAATGTATAAATTAATACATATAAATCTGAAATTAAAAAAATATATACAGTGTGGACATGACTAGTCTCCCTTCTAACTTTTGTACAGGACGAGATATCAGGGTGGGACACAATTTACGTAAAAAAATATTTTCAGTTCTTTTTGATAAGAAGGGCGAAATGTTTATGATAATTACAAAATCTTCACCAATACGCGTGAAACGCGTATTGAAAATAGGCTATATATTGTGAAGATTTTGTAACTATTATCATGAATGGTATTTATTTTTATCAAGTAACAGGTCAGTGTATTCAAAAGTAAGATAATAGTGTTGCATCACTTGTCGTCGAAAGAGCGCTACCATATGAAAAGGAAAGTCTTATAATACCTCGTTTTTCAAATGAAAAGAGGGGTTCTTGTCTGATACCTCGTTTGTTGAGTATTGTAATTACCCAACCTTTTTTTTTTGGAAATTGGATGTGTCGTTTCCAAGAAGTTGGCATTTTTGTATTGATTTCAAAAATCCAAGTACAAATGAATGATTTCAAAAAAAATATTCAAAACTCGCTCCACTTCATTCCAATCAATGTTCAAAATGTAAACCTTTCCCTCCATGACAATAATGAGGTCTTGACAAATTCATTCAGGTGTCACAAAAACATTAGGAGGTATCAAATCAGGTGATCTAGTGGCCTCTTCTTAGAGATTACTTCGGCCTGTTCACCGGTTTAATGATAATAGAATTTATTCGTCAATCAAAGATTATACAAGGCATCATACTTGCACACATGTATTAGTCTTATCAGAACAGTAAAAAAAAAGAAGATAATCTACAAATGAATTGTTAGGATGGTGTATAGTCACAAACAAAAAAAATATACATACTCTAATCAATATTATGGGAGTTTTTTCCCAACACCTAATCGCTATTTTTAACACCTCGACACGTGTTTCGATCACCAATTGGTCATCTTCAAGAGGAAGATTAAACTAGAAACTAACGCTATATAGATATACCCTACAGGTGTACCACCCATAAGGTATACCACCCTAAATTAATTTTTAAATTTTGCCTTATCTACCACCCATACAGGTATATCACCCTAAATTAATTTTACAATTTTGCCTTATCTATTATTTGACAATATATGTTTGAATGTTATAGCTGTATATAAAACAATTTTCAGCTATATAAAAATTAATTTCACAATATTGCCTATCTAAATTCATTTTAAATTTATGTTTGAATGTTATAGCTGTATATAAAACAATTTTCAGCTATATAAAAATTAATTTCACAATATTGCCTATCTAAATTTATTTTTGCAATGTGTCCTTATGTAGTAATCAGTAAACCCAACAATATTATTTTAATAAGCTATATAGTATGCTATTTGGTATCGGTCCGTCATCGTCATACCAAATAGCATACTATATAGCTTGTTAAAATAATATTGTTGGGTTTACTGATTACTACATAAGGACACATTTCAAAAATAAATTTAGATAGGCAATATTGTGAAACTAATGTTTAAATAGCTGAAAATTGTTTTATATACAGCTAGAACATTTAAACATATATTGTAAAATAATAGGTCAGGCAAAATTGTAAAATTGATTCAGGGTGGTATACCTGTATGGATGGTACACCTGTAGGGTATATCTATATAGCATAAATAGTGTTAGCTTCGCGATAGTTTCTAGTTTAATCTTCCTCTTGTAGATGATCACTTGGTGATCGAAACACGTGTCGAGGTGTTAAGAATAGCGATTTGGTGTTGTGAAAAAACTCCATTACTACACCAAAGGTTCCAAACAGTGCATCGTAAATACCATAATCAGTCTCACAATAGTAAGGTATCAAGAAATATAAAATTCCTCAATATTATAAAATACTTTTTCAAAGAAGAACATTTTTCAATTCATTTTAGATTCACATCTATTATATCTCTTATTTTATTGAAGCATTTTTGATACCAAAAGCTTCGGTGAATTTTCACAGACTGATGAACTTGCATAGGAATTTTGAATACAATTTTTCTTTGACAGAACATTAAAACGTATATGTACTTTATCTCCTGAAGATTCGAACTTGATTGGTGAAAAGTGCTTCAAGGAGTGTTATGGGAATAGTGTTTGCTTTGGAATATGGAGTTGCTAATTTTCTATAGTACCTGACAGTCCTAAGGCAATATCAAATTCGGTCTTGAGGATATTCATAACTTTTTTCACACCCTCTTCACCACTGTGAGCCAATCCCCACAAAGCAGGACGGCCAACGAAAACCATTTTAGCACCTAGGCCTAGTGCCTTGAAGACATCAGTTCCATCTGTGATACCTCCATCCATGTAAACCTCAACTCTGTCTCCAACAGCTTTAACGATTTCAGGCAGAGCTTCCACCTGCAATTGAACATTTATTCATGAAGATACACGGGACATCTAAATAGATTGAATAAATAACTCCCTTGAAACTAAAATATTTGATTTTCATTTAATCTGTATTTGAATATGATCCTATGGGGTAACCATTTTTCTAACTATAGTAAATAAACATTATCGAATAATACTCTGTATACAATAAAAAAAATAAAATACCGATGCTGGTGTTCCGTCAACTTGTCTAGCCCCATGATTAGACACCAGTATGGCAGCCACTCCTGCTTCTGCTCCAAGTAAGGCATCTTCTGCTGTTAAAATTCCTTTGAGTACAATTGGGAGTCTTGTTATACTTTTCAACCAATGTATGTCTCTCCATTCTAAGGTAGGATCGAATAAGGACATTGAATATGTGTTGAGACCCGAACCTTCTTCACTTTTTCTATTTATGTCTGTGGATTTTCCACCTTGGAAGTTGGCCAAACTTAAAAATACGGAAGTATTATAACAAAGAATTGGATTATAGTAACTTCAGTGAGAAATGATTTCTCTGTGAACTTTTGAATCGACACATACAGGAAAACTTTCTGGGAACTGTGTCGATAGATATTGTAAAAAGTATAAGTATCAGCATTGTGAAACTTTCCTAGTATGGAAATGATGAGTATAATTCAGCTGAAATAATTTCGTGTACGGAACACTCCCGATTATACACGAAATAGGCACGAACTTTGTTATTTTACATTATATGCCGCCACTGGTAACCACAAACCAAACGTGACGTAGCTAAGAGCGCGAGAATGCCCAATGTTCCCTGCCGCTCGAGAAGCAGTAAGAGTCATGCTACCGATGTCGATGGAACTTCGGCAAAAATTCTACGATGTTCTATTACGATACTTGAGCGCTGGCGGCGGGCGTATCGAGACAGTCAAGTGAACGTTACAGTGCGGTACGCGAAGTGATTTAGTGGGCCATAGACATTCAAATAATATTTCTGTGTTTGTTGTATTAAAAGTGAAATAAAGTTAAGTTGGATTATTCAGTGTAGTCAATTATTGGTCAACCCACGGGGAAAAACGTAACAATATGTATATTCTTTTTGGACAATTTAATGAAATTTCGACAAGAGCCAGTGATGCACTCAAGCGCTTAGTATTAACTCAAAGTCCCTAGTTGAACAAAGTCAAGAAATTGATTTCATAACTGTTCTTTTTATATTTTGCTGTGCAAAATAATAATGAAGATTTTGAATTACGCAATGGTTTGACCTATGTTACTATTATATATACTTATAGATAATTAGGAAAATATATAGTAATGACAACTCCACAAGGGATAATAAATTATATTTCTGAATGAAAACTGATTTGATTTGTATCGTATAGAGAGCATAATACTCAACATTTAGGTCAGACGTAAAACCATTTCGCATACACCAATTTCACTGTATTTCATAGATAAAAGTTGAAGTTCAGTATTGGGTTATCATTCATCTTTTCAAGAGTGATGATCTTATTCTATAACCTTGTTTTTGATAAAATAAAACGCGATATTTTACCTCAAGTGGGGTGGCAAAGAAAATTTGTTCTTGACATCTGCTAACCGAATTCCAAACAGAGGTGCATCTACTGTAAGGACCAAAGCTTTGAATCCAGCTCTTTCGGCTCTTTCAACCAATTGTTTTGTAACTTCTCTGCAAAATAAGAAGAGTTAGGATCCACAGAATTTGCAAAGTTACACTGTTTTCAGTGAAAAATTTTTAGAAATTCAAAATTGTTTTCGTTTATAGTCTCGATTTTAGTATGGAATTCTCAATTCTATTTTTCCCGGGAACCTGCATTCATCTGTATGAAGTAAAATTGAACTTCCAACTTGATATTCATATTTCTTAAATAGCTAATAAAATTATAGATTCAGTTTGAGATTGAAATTGATTCTTCACGTTAAAGTTTTGTCAAAAAAAAGTATTTATGTGTAATTCAGTACCGCAGAGGAATTATTCCTCTGAGTTTCTATCTGGAAGAGCAACTCTTATATATGGGTAATTAAAGAAATATTCTAAATGGGAAATGGAACATTCCACCAAAGAAAATGTATTGAAATTTAATCCATTCTCGGAAAACCGAAATAAACGAGAACAATTTCCAGAAACTATCTTGATATATTTTGAATATTGAACACTTCTAGTATACCTGTCTTTATAAATATACAGTTGGTACCACTTTATAGCATGTGGGGCTGCTTGAGCTACTTCCTCAATGCTAGAGTTGGAAAGAGTACTCAAAGTAAAAATCGTCCCTAGAGCCTGTGCAGCTGTAAAAAAATATGCTGGTATGGGTAAATACAATAATTTGTAGTCGTAGCTAGAGAAGTTTACAAATAAAACACTTGATTCGAACTTTATAATATTCTGTACGCTGATTTTGATGACCCTGGAATGCCGATTTTTTTCTCAAACGTTACTTTGCGAAAGGATTTTTTATGCCATTTTCGAAAATTATTTATCAAAGAAACAGTTAGGTATATGTTGCGTACTTTAATAAACATATAAGGGGGGATCGTGGTTTCTCTATCTGTAAAGTAGGGAGGGTGAGTGTAGGGAGGGTCACTTAGGCCACATGTGACCCACTGTACATCTTCCCGAGGAGTTGTCCTAGGCCATTGTCAATACTGCCCTTTCCAGGAAGGTGGACAGGTCACTAGGAGACATATCCTTTATATTGGCAGGTGTAGGCCAAGATTCGCCAAACACACACTCTCTTTGGCAACCTTGAGGTGTCTCACGGTAGCCTCCGCAAAGGTTTTGGAAGGTGCAGTGACATTACTGTCGTTGCGCGGCTATTTCAACCTTCTTGGGGTACCCTCCGTGGAGGTGCACAAGTGAGGGAGCTTTCCTGCAGGAGCAGCCGGTTTTTTGTCTTTATTCATGGCAGGGAACCTCCAACAGCAAGTGCCCTTGCTGTTGGAGGTGGAGTGAGGGAGGTGTAGGGTGCACTTATAGTTGCTGCCATTCCTATCTTCTTCGCTCTATTTCTCCTTTTCGCCTCGGCGCCGCAAATGCGCTTACGCCTTGGCCTTTGATTTATATCACGAAGTGATCTGCTATGTCCATCCTCATTCCAAGCGACAGATTGGGGTGGACATTTCTGTTCATCCCCAGTCACCGCCTTAGATTGAGGTGAGCACTTCTGTCCAGCCTCGGGATTGGTTTTTGTTGTTTCTGTCTTAGTGCTTGTTTCATTCATGTGTGTTTCCACGAGTAGCAAGGAAAGAGTTGGTCACCTCTGGCAGAGCCCCGCATTACCAGAGGTAGGCTGATTACAGTGAGGTTTCGACCAGTTCACCAAGGGGATCGTTCGTGACCATCTGTCACCCTGCGGCCATTCAGCTGTCGGCACGATTCCTTACACCCTAGCCTGGGTAGGCTGGTCCAAAGTGGCATGTTTTGCAAAGGCTTTTGGGGAATTTTAGTTCCAGGAAAAGTGGATTATTTTTATGTCATTTTCAAAAATTATTTATTTAAAAAACCAGTTATATGCTGCCTACTTGAAATAATATATAATTGTATATTTTTACCTTGGACATTGGCACACTCTCCATCTGGATGGGCCATCCTTTGCATAGCAGTAGGAGATATTCCTATAGGCATAGAAATTCTTTCTCCTAAGACGGTTGTCGATAAGTCTCTGTGTTCTACATTCCTTAAGAATCTCGGTCTGATTTTGTACCTGTGGAAAAATAGATGGAGAATTCCGATAAATTAAAACAACACATCTAAAGTTGGAGAAGAATGGTCATAGTAGCCTAAAATAGGTCATATATTTTTTTCTCAATCATTGTTGAATTATATTTTCGAAAAATTATTGCCGGCTTTTATCGCCTGTATCTGAGGTGATAACCCATATATTAAATTTAAACGAGGGGCCCAAAATGATCAATACCATAATGAAGGAACCTAAAATGAGTCAGCTTAACGGCAAAGCTAGCAGAATCCACATAATTTTTTAAAACCACGCTTATAAAGTACATTCTAACTGCTCTTGGGCTCATATTTCGATCCTTTTTTATTATATAGAGGCTTAATTTTAATAAACGGATATCAAGCATAAATGCGTTGTATTTGGGCTCTGGTTGTCAACCAGTTGCCTAGCTTGTAGTAAAAACTGCCTGGTTCGGCTTCAGCTTAAGTGCAAGGGGTGCGGTGCACCCGGAGGTCGCATGTAACGTATCTTATGCAGCGGCGCCTGCCCATATAAAAACCAAGTGGTCTCTATCGGAGTTCTCAACTCTATTACACACGTATAAAAGTAGTAGTTAGTTATAGACCGTAATTATAGACATTAATTGTTTCGTGGGACAATAAACCGAATTGAATTGTAACTAATGATCTATAATGTGAATTGATTAAATGAAATTTATAAGGGACGGTGATTCATATTAGTTTTTATAAACTGTGCATTAAATACCTGGAAAATGCTTCCCTATTCTGCTTGAGTGTTAATTGTTGACCAGCTCCGCTTCTGTAGTAGTCCAGGGTATTTCTTGGTAACACTCTGTATGCATGCTCTTCAAACTCCTTGATGCTGACTAGGTTGGACATTTTCAGGACTGGTGAAACTGCTCTCTCCTTCACACTCGTCTGTAGAATGTTATTTCTCACAAGCGTTTGTTAATGATCTTCAATAATCAAGTACCCTTGTAGGTCACGTTATTACTGAACTGTTGATAAGATAAACTTCTTCACATCATCACAGCAATAAATGTTATGATCGGTAATCTGTGTAATGGCAAATTACATCACAAGTATATTGATTTATGCATAACAAAGTCAGACCATTTGAAAAATTCAACCGGGGGATGCACACATTCTTAGGGTATCGGTTCAATGATGGATCCATAACACATTCAGATATCTAAATCTTAAAAAACAGTTTATGAGCACTCTGTAAACTTCTTTTTCAGATATTCTTATCGCTATGGTGATATAATAAAAACAAGTAGGTATTGTTACTCAAATGTCGACAATCAAAGTTATAAGTTAGGAATTCATGCTATTGTTTGTTTGAGTCTTTTACAATATGGCGCAGTCGGTAGGATCAAATTGAATGTCTTCGCCTCTGATTTTCAAATTAAATTTTGTTTTATGATAACATTTCGTTATGTCAGCTAAACTCCTTACATAAATATTTGTATTGAAATATGGTAAATTCAATATTTTCACAACTCTTTCGTTAATGAGATCAATATCAGATCCAGTGTCATAAATAATGTTCAATTGATGGCCATTGAATGACAAAGTTTTTATATTATCCTGATTTTCTGAACTTGAAGAAGAAAAAATGGTGTATGATTCGAAATTTTTACTAGTACTCAACACCCAATGTTACTCAAAAACCATACAAACCCGTTAATTCATTCAGATAGCCTTCCACTAATGTCAACATAATAACAATAAGTCGCCAAGCTGGCATTTAATTTCCTAAAAACGCCAGCTTGGTTGGTGAAACGCCTGCCGAGAAGTGTTGCAGTTCTGGATTGTGGGAAAAGTGCTTGTTTTGGATTCATTCTATGCCAGATGTTCGAGTTCTATTTTTCCATAATATACTTACGAGTATCCCCATATTCGGATTAGAATTTCAACGACAAATCATCTTCATAAGACTTTATGTAAATGAAGGATCCGCTCGATAAGTGATGTAACTCTTGTTTTGAACAAATATAAAAAAAGGATATTCATCACCAAATCTGCCACTTTCCTCCCTTTCATTTTTTATTATTTGCTTGATAACTGATAACAAATAACAATAACAGATGATGCGGTGTTGAAATCTCTTGGATAAGCAGTGAATGTATTGAATGCCTTGAATTGTCTTCAATGAACTGCTTCAAGCGCTTCTTGAATATTATTTTGGTTGCAAGTTTTAATTTTTCTGGGATATTGTAAATTTTGGTGCTAGAGGTAGAGAAACGATCTGTGTGGTGGTTTTTGTTATGAATGAAACAGTAAAATGGGTTCTTTTCATTTCATCTTTATTTGCCTCAAGAAAATTTTACATTTTATAGACACATCCAAACCTTAACCCAAATAACTAAAGATAGATGATAGAATAATGTGTAGTCCTGGGAATATAATCGAGGTTGACAATGGTTGTGATAAGGGATATTGAAGAATAAAAAAAACATATGATCTACATACAAGATAAAATACATTTAAGGGATGACTAAATATGAATATATAAAATGTATGAATTATATATAAAACGTAAATGCATAAAATATATGAAATATGATGTATAAAATGTAAAAAAATATATAATGTATAGAATGTCAAATGAATGAAATATAGATAATATATGGATATATACCGTAACAATAAAATGGAAAGTTATATTCAATCACTGTGATTATCCATGAACAAATGCCGATTTTCAGCGATCAACTGAGTAAATTCTTGGAAGTTGTAAATACAGGTACTAGATAAAATAAATTTCTATATACCGTAACAATAAAATGGGAAGTTATATTCAATCACTGTGATTATCCATGAACAATTGCCGATTTTCAGCGATCAACTGAGTAAATTCTTGGAAGTTGTAAATACAGTTACTAGATAAAATAAATTTCAATTTGGATTTGAATATTTTTGGAGGTAAATCTCGAAATTGAGATGGTAAGTTGTTATAGCCTTGTTTTTGGTTCAACTATTCTGGTTTTGTTATTAATCGTGTTCTATACTCTTTGCAAAAGTTTGCACCAAAAAAACACCGGGTATAATGTAACAGGAAACCTCATAAAGGCTGTTGGTGACATTTTATCACATCCACTAAGTAAGTATTTTAATGAATAGAAGCTTTTATGAATACCCCGAACAATTGAAGTTTCCAATGGTAGTTCCACTCTACAATCAAAAGGGGAGTAGAAGGGTGGCCAAAAATTGAAGCGCAGCAGCAGTACAGTGTTATAGTAAAAACAAACCTACAAAAACTAAAATCAATAATAACAACAGCGAATAAACTAAACACAATATCAATTTCCGACCGTTTATTATAACTAGTCCGATGACCGTGGTACCGTCGAATCCTTCGATACTACAGCACTGAACGCGTTGGATGAGCATCTCATCCTAAGAGCGGTTGAAGGTTCCCGGCAACTCGGGAGGATCACGTGGTAAGAGAGCTTAGTGGTTGTATTATTCTACTGTGACAGTGTCACATTGGCATACCATTCGGTGCGGAAGAGTTTCTAGGTTTTCTTTGAGCAATAATTTAAATATTGAATAGAACATAATGGAATCGAAAAATAAGGGACATCCAACCAGAAGGATCGACTTCACCAGTACACCGATAAGTGACATCTTCGGGGGGCAACTAAAGTCGAGCATTCATCGCAACGGGGACCACATTACTGAGAATATCTAGTCTTTCCTCACCCTGCCACTCAACATTGAGAAAGTGAAGACTGTCAGAGAAGCGCTCCAAGGTCTCCAAGAACAGTTTAGAGGGGCTGACTTGGTCGAAAACAAACGAGAAGGTCGAAGCGTGGGAGCAATTTATGCTCTGCAAACTTCCCGTTATCCTCATTTTGCATCTGAAGTTTTTCGAATACAGCCACGACCGTTGTACGAAGATTATCAAAGCTTTGGATCTTGAATTCGTCTCGAAGATTGATTCCTCATTGGTATCGTCGGAAACACAGTCTCCAACAGAGAAGCGATACAAGCTATTCGGCGTCGTTTACCAAGAAGGCAAAAATGCCAACATTGGACACTACGTGACCGATGCCTTCCACGTCGGCACTGCTGGATAAGGTACGATGATTCTTCGATCAAGACCGTGCAGGAAGAATACGTACTGAAACCCCAGGGAACCCTATAGTTCCTTATTTGCTTTTCTTGATTTGATTTCTTTGATTTGATAAGATATAAATAACTTCCATCTAGGGGGATGAGGTTGTTGCTTTTACGTAGAGTTCAGCGTCTGGAATCTTACGGAATTTCTCTTTTGAGTTTTTATTAAATTTGATTTTTTGTTGGTTTAAATGAATTTTTTATTCTTTAATTTTGTTTTACCTAATGATTCCTATTGACAAAATATATGAATATTTTTATAATGTTAGACTCAGTAATTATCTCGAAAAGTTAGATATTTTATATAGCTCATGGTACCTATGTGTTCAGAGCGAAAAAATCTAACAGTTGGTCTGAAAAGTTCGTAGGTTAACATAGACAAAATGTTTTTTTGATAAAATTTGATTTTATTATTCAATATAGTTGTCTTCGATGGCGATACAACGATTATAGCGGTCATATAATTTTTCGATACCATTTTTATAGTACGATTTATCTTCAGCCTCATCCCAAAATACTGATACCATAACCTTACCAGCCTACTGTTGCGTTTTTACACGCTTTGGAGTCGTTTCACCATATGCACTTCACACAGATGACAATGGTGTGAAATGATAGAGCTATCATCCATTGTCACATATTGACGCATAAATTCGAGTTTTATATGGTGGAACATTTTCAAACACTGCTCTAAAACATCAATTAGATATGTCTAACACGTTTCTTTGATATCTTCATCTCGATCAACTTCACTTTGAGGTGTTGTAAAATTAATTTGTTTTTTCCAATGTTTTCGTAGGTAACAGGCTCTTTGGAGACTGAAGCATCGTCCTCGGTGCTCATTTCAACTTGTTTAAACTTATCAAACCACTTCATAACGGTTGATTTCCGTGGTGCAAAGTTTATCAAGGCAAGCCTTGACTTCAACACTTCTATCTCACAAACTAATAATCCGACAGCAATGAAATTTATACACGTGTATTTCGAAGGTTACTGTTAACTAAAAATCATATGGATTCAGTACTAATAGAGTCATCTATGAACTTTTCTGCCCACCTAATACTAGGACAGCATTGGATGTAACTATATCGCACATCCATGAAGCATTTGAACAAAAGAGAAAATATAACACAAGCTGTATCATCCCTATTGGTACCAGAGGCCGTATCTGTATCTGTAGAGTAGGGAGAGTGAGTGTAGGCCCTCATCACTTAGGCCACATGTGACTCATTGTACATCCTCCCGAGGAGTTGTCCTCCTAGGGCATCGTCCATCCTGTCCTTTCCAGGAAGGTGGACAGGTCCCTGGGAGACATCTCCTTCATATCGGCAGATGTAGGCCAAGACTCGTCGAACACACACTCTCTTATTGACAATAAATACGGACATTCGCATAGGATATGCCTGACATTTTCCTGTTCACACATCTTGCATAGAGGTGTGTCCACTAGCTTCATATTGTGGAGGTGTTTCCTTAGTTGACAGTGGCCAGTCAGAAATCCTACTGTTAAGCGTAGATTTTTCTTGGTTATCGCAAGATATTTATTCGGCGCCCGCTTCCCAGGGTTGCCGAGGGTGATCCTGGCAAGATCGCATCCTTTGATTCCATCCCATCTCTTTAGGGATTGAGCATGGGTGTGACGTTTGGCTAGTTCCACAATTGTCGAAGTCATCAGGCCATATGTGTCACTGGGTCCTAAAATTCTTAGTCCAGCCACTTCCTTGGCTAAAGATTCGGCAATGCGATTACCTTTACTCCTGTCGTCCTCTTTAACTTTCCTCAGGATAATGTTATCTACCGAGGCTTTGGTTGAATCTTGGTGGCACTCTAGTACTAGTCCTGAG